ACAGCGATTTACATTGCAGTTTAATACATATCAATTTTGCTGATAACTTCAAAATGATTAATAATTTTGTGTAATTTTCAATGTATTCCCCATAAAAACCTCGAGTGTACATATAAAGTTAAAAAAAATCTCCCAACAGGTATGTAACCGTTCTATAGTTATCTTAAATCAGCGCCGGGGGCGGTACAATCACTTTAAGAAATATTGGATTGAATAATATCTTTATCTATAAATGTCAAACGAAAGTCGCTTTTCGTGAACTTTGTTTGAATCAAGCGTTCTGCTAAACCATGAAAGGGATCAAAATACGGTTTTCATCATTATGTAGGTTATGTATTCCACATGGTTTGTGTATATACTTCATAGTAATTCAAGTTTAGTATACATGAATAAACAGCGTGTTTCTGAACCCAATTAGCCTTTGTGACTTACGCTGGCTAAACCATTAGACCTATGTAATAATGATGTATCAGAGAATTCTAGATCTTACAAAAGTTCTACAAAAAAAGTATAAATGGCATATCGCTATCTTATACAATTACGTCACAATAAGCAAGTTTTGCTTAAGAGAAAGTAATTGAAATCGAATGTCATTAGCGGCGCAATTTTTTCTATTTTAATTTCCATATCAACATAAATGTGTTAGTTATTAGAGAAATTTTATGTAGATTAAAATGCCTTTACAGAAGGTATATAATTCTGACCAATAGTGTAGAAGATATCACTCACGATCACAAACAATAGGTGCTACAGAAAAACATGTTCGCGGAGCGGTCGCGCCCGTGTTTACAAGGTTTTTACAGGATTGTACGTCACCGGGAAGAAGTACTACTGATATGAGAGATCAGATGTTTAGACTTTGCCACCCATGTGAAGTAGGGATGGGTCACTAGTTTAAAATAAAACATTAACTTGTAATGCTATTCAAATGTATTAAACGTTAATAACAACAATTTTCCAGGACTGATTGATATTTATCGTTATTTCGAATTCAGGCAGTTTAGATGTTAAGACTTAGATTGTCCAGAACAAGTAGGGCATAGCTGTAAGTTAAATGTTGTACCATCAATAACTTGTCCAACGTTCTCCGCTAAAGAATTATCACTTGCGTTCACGCTGTTTGTAACTTGGCTTTGAAAATCAGAAGTAACTTGTCTTGACACTCTCATACTTTTTACTTCAACATCTTGGAATGTGCAAATGATCAGAACCAGGTATACAGCGGCAACCTGAAAATACATTAAAATATACAAACATTGAAATTCTTTTCGAACAAAACATAAATTTCTAGTTGTTTCCCGCGACTCCATCCGCATGAAACTATAAAAAAAACTTAAATAGTAACCTATGTGTTCATAAAATTGCAATGAAATGGGAGCTTATTTTCTAATACAATAGATAACACATCTACAAATACGAGGGTGGATTGAAAAGTACTCGGCCTAACATCTTACATTGAACTTACTGTGCGATAAACTAAATCTGAGACAGTAATAGTTTCATAGTAAAATGCAACGTGAAAATTTATTCATGAAATGTTTCGTAAACTTACTTTTACTCCCATGTTATACATATATATGTCTGTCTGATTTCTTAAAACAGAAGTTGCTTTTTGTCGTTTGCTGACATTATTTATAGCAATCATTGGCGCGTTAATTAACAACATGGAATACTAAATTGCATATTAATTATTGATTATAATGAATTATCTACAATACATTAATTAGTACGATGTTATAAATATTTTTATGTTTTAAAATAATTAATTACCAAAAGTTGACATTATTTGTTGTTAACAGATTTGGTCTATTCTCTCTCTTCATTATTTTCAACGCTTAGTCGGCACAATTTTTAATAATGTCTCTCTACCAGCTATCATATGGCAATTCACACATTGCTCATCCTAGTACTTGCGAACAAGGTCTTTTATTTGTGATAATATGCTTAATTAGTGCAGATAATATTGAGCTAATTAACTTGCATAATAATATCAAGATTATATAATAATTTATACAATTAAATCAATAAGTATTTTTGTTTCCTATCAATCAGCCTCATTACCGCGACATCGTGCTATATAAATAAGTATTGACAACAGGGCACATCAACAGGCAATTTTACTTTGGAAATTACCTAAGCAACATTCACAATGGAATCAAAGGTATGTTAATGTATTTTATTAAATTGCTGTTTAATGTATTTGTTTGAGGCAGTAAGTAAGACGATGTTATAGTCTATTTTAGAAGAAATTCAAGGTTAGATTCGTAATTGTATTAGTCTGAGAGCTGACAAAAGTAAACAAAAATAATTTTTCCAAACTTCATTCAGTGAGACTATTATTCCCATATTTAGTAGCAACTCTAAAATCAATAAGGACTGATAAAAGCTTTTGAATATGTCTTTAGAAGTACCGATTGCATTACCATTATGAGTATTATAAAGTATTTTACTAATAAAAACATTGAATGGAATCACTAAATATACTTTTTTTTGCAGAAAATGGTCACGTTTTTAATAGTTGTCGTTTTGATGTTCCAATTCGCTGAAATGAGCATCATCCGTAATGTAAGACAGGTTAACAGTACACTTAACGCCAGTTCTACCAACAATGTGGAAGCCACCGACAATTCAGAGGCTTACAACTTAGGTCAGATACTTACTGGTACGATTGTTAGCCTTCAAGAATGTCCTACGTGTTCTAACCCACCAAAATCAAAACAGTAAAAGCCAGAAGACATCCTACATCAGCTTATGTTTATTCATACAGAACTAAAACTATATTATGTATGTATTTGTATAAACTTTGAATTTTTAGTATTGTGTTACACAATATGGAATAAATTTATTTTGGAATGGCAACTTCTCTATTCTTTTCGCATGCATCATAAATGATAATATTATACTATCATTTTAGATTGCTAGTTTTGATGGTTAATGCAACAGAGGCTAAAGTCGGACGACGTAATAGTGATATGTGATCTAAGATATGAATAATTATTGTGAAGAACTAGCGATCTTGTCTAACGATAGCCAAAACTATACTGATTTAAATGAAATTTAGTACTCAGATCGGGGACAGAGTGTTGTGCTTGAGAAAGGACAAAGGCTACTTTAATGCGAATAAAGGGATTTAAAGGTTAGAAAGAGGGGATGAAAAGTTGTATAGTATATCTTCATTTTTACTGCTAGAAAGTTAAAATTGATTTTATTAGGCTGTTAATTTGATATAATCTATAAATATGATATTTAAAGTTAGTAGAAGTTTTACCCTGAATGGTGTAAAATAACAATGAAAGTTTTTACGTAAGGTTACTGAGAATGTTTTGTAAGTTTAATATGTTTTGTTGTAACTTTTTATAAGTTAATGTAAAATGATTAGCCTAAAGAATAAAATCCTAATAAATTATCCGAAGCCAGTATAAGACGCGGACGAAGTCGCGGGCACAGCTAATAGTTAATAAACTTTTAAGGTCTCTAGCGCCTAAACGCTACTTTGAATAGAGGTAAGTTCGGTTAAATCGTTATATTTTCGATCAAAGATTCCGCGATAGTACGTTGTACACGTCCCAGAGAGCCTGTAGAAATAAAAAAAAATATTGATTTATTGCAAACACTAACCAAATTTCGTTTAAAATACTTGGTGTAAATCGTGTTAACGTAGTTTTTTGACCACGTATTTAAATTATATTCACAGTGTAAGTAAGTACTTGATACAAGTTTTTTACGGTTACATACCTGTTGGGATATTTATTTTTTAACTTTATATGTACACTCGAGGTTTTTATGGGGAATAAATTATTAATCATTTTGAAGTTATGAGCCAAATTGATATGTATTAAACTGCTATGTAAATCAAGAAATCGCCTATTATATTTAAAATCACATGATCGCATTTAGACTACCTAAAGCAAATAACTGTGATATATATATATAAATAGACTACTACTACCATATTGCGGGACCAAAGGAAATGAATATGTTTAAATTTGGAATTACTTCCGTAAAGAAAGCCTAAGTGTAGCATTATTCGCTTGAGTTATTTTGTGGAGCGGCATTGTATCTCGCACCAAAAAAACAAAAGAAAAACCCTGGTCGAGTCAGACTCGCGCCCCGAGGGTTCCGAACAAAATTGTAGGTACAAGTAAAAGTTCACCTACCACTAAATCGAGTCATAGTTAAAAATAATGAAAAGTTTATAATTTCAAAAAATATTTTTTTTATTTATTTATTTATTTAATGTTATATAACAATTTTTTTAAGGCTTATCAGAATTTTTCTTTTATATGTGCTATAAGCTATTGCTTCAAACCAAATTTCAAGATTTTAGGTCGAATAAAAGTAGGTTTCGATAACTCTGTGAGTAGTTGCTGGTTTGGAAATATGCGACTTAAATTGCTTTTTCTTTTCATTGCGTTGACGCGTATTATTGACCTGAGTAATACCTCTACGCCTTCACGAGGATGGGGATTACTAAGTTCCAAATTATAAAATGTTTTTATTATATGATGAAACTAAACATTTACTGTTTTTGAATTTTTACTTTATATGTTCTGTAACACATTGCTTCATACCAAATTTCAAGATTCTAGGTCGAAAGGAAGTACCCTATTACGCAATTAAATTTTTTTTTTTTTTATCATGGAACTAAAATTTACGGTTTCCGCAATTTTTCCATTATCTGTGCTTTACGACGTTGCTTTGTGCCAAATTTCAAGATTCTAAGTTCACGAGAAGTACCCTGTAGGTTTTGATTCCCTTGCAAATGTCGAAAATTTGCGTAAATTTGCGACATAAATAGTTGTATCTTTTGATTGCGTTGGTTTAGAAGTTTTATTTTTTCACAGCACCTAGCGACCGCATATCTGAGTATTTAATATAAATTCCAGCTTGATACCTCCACGCGTTTTTGAGAAAAAGGGTCTTGACAGACAGACGGACGGACAACAAAGTGATCCTATAAGGGTTCCGTTCTTTTACTATGAGGTAAGGAACCCTAAAAACGTTTTTTTAGGGTTCCACAAAATTTCTCTCAATAGACCCGGTGACCTCAAGTCAAAGTAAATTATGTTAGCGTTAGCATTCTCCTGTCAGTGTCTAAAAAAGTGCCAAAAGGTCACTAATTATAAACGGATAGATAAGTCATCACTTGGAAATTACCATTTTTGCTCTGGTATACAATTTCAATCGTATCTAACTTCATAATTTGTATTTTTGTTTTATAACAACAAGATGAACAATATAAAAGGCCTTGAAGCAATTTATACTCTTAAAGGTCTAAATAGGGAAATTAAAGTTTGCATGAAAAGATGTTATTCCTTAAGAATATTTACTTAAAAATGGACTTAAACGCATTTCAATACAAATAACTAACTACCTGGCAATATTTCTGTCAATTTTTTTTCTGCAAATGTCTATAAAAGAGCATTATAGTTTATATCTGAAGAAATTGAATTCCTACGTTTCTTCATAGATATGTACAAGTTGCATCACAATGTTTTCCCTAGCCGTAAGAACGTTGAATAAATGAACACATTAATATCATAACTCGAAAAACATATAAATACATGGCAGGGATCGAGTCTAGGTGTTTAGATTTTGGTCCAGTGTAACTATGGTAAGATTCAGCTTATCTAGACGCGCGACAATTACCTAAAATATCGAAAGTTATTGTCCGTTCTAAACATTTTTGAAGTTCGTTATGGAATTCTCCTCGGAGCGAATGCACTTTGTCTAGCTCCGCTGGCAGACCTAAATCTCATTCTAACATTTTTTCTAACATTTTATTGCGTCTATAAAATAATTCATGGTTCACGACAACAGTTGAAACGGGTTTGGGGGGTTCGAAGTCACAATTCCATGTCTTTTTCCGTAACAATAACCACGAGGCTTCTAGCACCTCAATTAATCTTTTTATTGCTATATCTTATGAGAATAATGGTTTTAATTATCTGTGTGTCCCCAATTGTGTATTAATGATGAAAATTATCAAGCAGCCTCATTACCCTTCTTATTATAAAATATAAATAGATGGAAACCCGCAACTTCAGTATAATACTTTCATAATGGAAGCTAAAGTAAGTTTGCGGAATTTCATATTTTATTTATTTATTTACGTTCTTATTTATTACTGATATATCGAATTTGATAAATATATTAACATGTCCAGATGTTCTTGCGTTTAGTAATATGTAATAAACACTAAAAATATTAAATAAGGAACGTACAATACTAAAATTAAAATAGTACACAAATGTAATTTAAGTTATTAAATTTTTCTCTTATTTAATCTTCTACTTGAGGTGCCTCTCCGACTAGCGAAGGTTGGAATTTTAAAAATAAAATGTTTTAATTCCATGACCATTAATTATTTTTAAACTTTTATTACGTCTTTTTTGGTTTCGTTTGTATTAAAAACATCTGTCACCAATTTCTGATGAAATCGTTCAAAGCGAAGCTTTAAAGAAAGCAGATGGATATTATTTAAAAATATTTCTTCTGCAATACTGCGTACAATATAATGAAGTATTTATTTTGCAGAAGCTGGCGATATGCATCATCTTCGTTTTTATAATGTCAAACATTGAAGCGTCCGTCCGTGACACGAGACAAATAAATTCAATAACATCAAGCAGGGTGACCAACAATATTCGTGCAGAGAACAATTCCTCAGTGTTCAATATAGGACAAATTCTTTCTACTGCAATTAGCTCCACCAGATGTGTTAATGCTTCGTGTTCCTCGTGAATAATCTTGATTTGTATCACTTATTATGTTAAAGAAATATCTCGTAGACTTTCATGGATTTAAACAATAAATATTGATAATTGGAAATATATGTTTCGTTTGTATCATATGCTCTATGTAACATAATCATAACAATCTTAGTGTGGGTTTCCAATAAAAAAATCTGACAAAAAACCATAGTTATCCAACTTATTGTATTGGAAATTTTAGAGACAATTTCGTACATGTAATTCGGCAGGAACGTAAAATAGCGCCTGCAAAAGTCTTGGTAAGTGACTGAGTTTACATATACAATCTTTTCATATCCCAATTTAGGTTTACTAGAATATTTATTACATTCTTAAGTAAATGGAATACGCTTGTAAAAGCAAAGCTGCCACACCACTGCGATATCAAAAGAATACATCAGGTTTCTATTAACGATAACAAATCTCAAATCAATAAAGAGTTAGAGCTTTCTATGATTCTTTATTGTGCTTTCAAAACGTAAGAGCTTTTTGTTAAATATTGACTAAATTATAAATAAAACTTTTATCGCAACAATTAAAAAAAAACAAGTAATAAACCAAAAAATTATCTGGAAAACTAATTAAATTGAAAATTGATATCGTTATCCAGAATTGAAATATACTGTTCCTTTTCATATCTTTTTTTTTAATTGACGGCTATCATTTAAAACATATTATATGGTAATCGTATTTTAGCTGTACTTGTTTAAACAATCCAATTAAGAAAAGTGATATAAAACAGTATAAATAATAACACACTGACATAAAGTAACACGTTTAAAGTACCTAAAAGAAAACAAACATAATGTCAATCAAAGTACGTGTTTATCCAATATTTATATAGTTTAAATTTTATTGAACGTAGTTGCTATGTTATTTACCTATTGATTATTTTAATTCATCACTAAAGTTATAATACAAATATCTGGGCAAATAAAATTGAAGTTAATTTAACGATATTACTCATAACAAAATATAAATTTTTACTTGATACAGGAATCGGCCCGCCTCGCCCGGTGAAATACCACGACCACACAGAAGGCAGGCGTGAAGTGGAAGCAATTCCGCGTTTCGTCTGATGAGTGTGCGTTTCGTCTGATGAGTGTGCGTCCCGGAGGCCTAATTTAGTCCTCTTTCCCTTCCCATCATTTTCTTTATAAGGAAAGGATGGGAAGTGGTAGTGGATTTTGCGGATGAGAGGATGCATGGAAAGGGAAGATATTTTCTTTCTGTGCATCCTCTCCTCCGTCGATTAAAGGTAGGCAACGCATATGCAATTGCGTATGTTTATGGACAGCAGTCAGTTCGCTATTTCAGCGATTTCAGGTGACTGCTCGCTCGTTTGCCACCTTTTGGTATAAAAAAATGTAGTTTACGCATATGTAAATTTGTTTATATGTATATAGTGAGTTTTTTTTGTGGGTATGTTTGAATGGCTGTATGTCTACTAGTCCTCGTTACGTCAGATTCTCCGAAACAGCTAGACCGATGTTTATGTTGTTGTATGTAGGCGTAAAATTTATTTAATTTTAGTAATTTAATCAAAAATGCGGGCAACAGTTATAATAATACAATTTGTTTGCTTCACAGATTACAGCCGCGTGTTTCGCGCTTTACCTTTATATCAGTACTTGCGAATCAAACCCCTGTTCGTATCAACAGGGGTATGATAATAAAGGTTTTTTTATACCAGAAGTCTACGATGACTTAATTAATGATAACTGCAACGTATGCATTGGAAGACCATACCCGAAAGTTCCCGAAAACCAATACAACCCATCTGACAATAAAGAATCAGGTTATGAATCCCAAGACTGTTATACAGAAAATACGATAATAGACGAGGAATGCGAAGCAACAGGTGATGACGAAAATGAAACAGAATATGAGGGGAAGAACAGCGCAAAGTATGATGATGAGAATGAACCTGAAGAAAACAATAAGTACAAATCGAGTAGTAAATATGAGTATGAACCAAATAATGATGATGATGATGATGAGGACAAGTATCAACCCAAATATGATAATGACGAAGATGACGATGATGAGGACGATGATGATGATTGCGGAGAATGTGACTCAGAATAATGACCCGAAAACATAAAAAGCAAAAGTATAATTAAATATTAATTTGCGTACTTTGGCATTGCAACATATACCATATTCTATTAGTTGCTAAATATAATAATAATTATGTCAGTTTTAAAGATAAATGTGTGAAAAAAAAATTTATAAACAATCGGACTTAACTTTCCTATCAGAAAATAATTCCATACTGATAATATGTCACAGAACTCAGTCTTCGCCGCACTTGCTACTTACAATGTGTAGGAGGAATTTCCATCAGACGACTCAAAACTAATAATTATCTTTACCATTACTTCCACGAGGACAAAGCAATAAAGATAAAAATAGAAAATTGTTGGCTTTTCCCACTAGCACAGATATGAGTATAATTAGCAGTAAGTTCCATGATATTTAATATTTAAAAAGACCTGTCAGAAAACTGTATCCAGTAACACATTTATTTAACAACGATCAAGATGAATATATTCTTTAGTGTATTAATATGTGTGATTTATACTTTGGGTCTTTGTGCAGTACAAGGTGATAATTATGTAGAAAATCAGCATGAAGACAATGAATACCCAGAATACAATTATTGGAAACCTATGGTTTCTTTCGATGACAAAGTAAAACCAGTTAAAGAAACGGACGTAAAATCTGACGATAAATTTGGGTATCTAAGACCCTACCAACCTCCGTCTTTAATACATGGACTGAATACTTATCCACATTATGCCTGCGACGGATTCCCTGCACATCTCCACAAGCCGATCTGGTCGTATCCTGATATTAATTACTTTGTTAAGAAAGTCAACAAGGATAAGCCATATGTCTCATATGAAAATAAATAGGTGTTAATTATTTTTCTTCTTTCAATTTCGATGTTTCATCCATTCTTAGTGTAGTTTATAAATGTAATCAAATCATATATTTTATTAAATATTTTTCTATTTTTATATAGTGCAGAACTATGTTTTAGTATGCAAATCTTTTAATATAAAGCCATTGTAAATAGAAACGCAACTACACTTAAAATGCAGCCGCCGGCATGGCGGCATCCGGAATCGCGCAAATAACCGTTTAATGGAAATTTAAACTTAAAATTACTTTACACTATCTGATAAAAATAGAATATAGAACTAAGCTTTATTTAGCCTGTTTCGTTCAATAGGTGTTATTTTTAACGTTATGTATTTTAAATACGTCCTTCAAAGTAACATCATGCAGAATTACGCGGAAATACAATTGCTATACTAAAGACGACAGGCGCCTATTTATCGACACATCATTTGCCCTATTTGCATAAAAATCTTTATTTTAAAATTTTGAAACATCATTGGTATAAAAAAATCATATTTCGTACACATAATATACACATATATTTCAATTTCTTATAACGAAAACCCAATTTTAATATGTTTGTATATCTGTCTACCTGTCCGACCGACGGGTGGACCGATTTTGACGGGACTTTTACGGGAAGGTAGTTAATGTGTACGGGAGTAACTTACAATTATTTGTTCCGCGCAGTCGAAGACGCAGCCATCCGTTTATCATAAAATAAAAATAATCTCCTAAATAACAATCATATGCCAACTAAATGGTATTTGCAAACGTAAACATATAGCAAAAACTATTTTAGTTGTACGATATTCTATCATCACCTATCCTTTTGTTGGCGAATAAAATAATGTAAAAATCAAGTTCCATGGGTAATCACTGTTGAAACATATTGCTGTCTCTGTTTATTCAATGCGAATTAGAGGGACGAAAATATATTTTTGTAAGATAGTTCCGGCAGTGGAAACACAGTTATGTCACTTCAACAAATATTGATTGTCTCAATTCCGAGATTTGTTATCGACAATGTCATCCTTAGTCATATTATGCTAACCTCTAACAATAAGTTTGTGTTAAATAATTCATCTATGCTAAAAAAAGGCTCCCAAACGTTAAGTTTACAATCGAGACAAATTTTTAAATTAAAATCAAATGAAAATACAGGAACGTCTTACAGGTTATGGTATTTCTAGACGTAGGCCAATTTTTTAGTCTTAAGACTTAGGCCACCGACACACACCCACACACACAAACCACAGATTATAGACTTGCGCAAAAAAATTACTTACTACTTCATTACGAAGAGATCCATAAAATACTACACACTACTCCTCCACATTGTATACAGTTTTGTTTAGTGCGTGTCTGTCACATGCATTAGTGTAATAAAAAATACAATTCTTCCATTGTCTTTGTAATAAAACAGATATATCAAATTTTCAAGTGTACGACTGATTCTCTCACGAAACAAAAGCTCAAAGAATATTCTGCGATTTTCAAAAAAAATGTAAAGTTATTTTATTTTTTTGAAAAATTTCGCGCGAGCAATTTCTTCGGAAACAGCTAGTAAATCGTACATAGTAGTCGTATGATACAATGACGTATCTCGCAAAATGTTTGAGAACCTTCGTAAAAACTCTTTGGGAATTAGCGGAAAGCTTAAAAACATAAAGTATATATGATTCGTGTATATAAAGGCCACATATTTATAGGTTAGATGTTTACTCAGAGCTCTTATTTGCCCGGTATCAGCGATGGCAGCAGCTAAGGTAATATTTAGTATGATCCTCGCTTTTACAACTCCTTTTCGAATTAATTTATTATAGTGCAAAATTTAAAGGCTATTTTTAATTCACTTTCAGAGTTTCCATATTTTAGTAGTGTTAATGACGCTACTAGTAGGAAGCTTGGCGCAAGGATTTGGTGGGCCAGGCGGTTTCGGTCAAGGGGGTTTCGGTGGTAGACCGGGAGGATTCGGAGGATTTGGCGGTAGCCAAGGCGGATCAGGGGGAAATCCGAATGGTTTCGGTGGCGGAGGTTTTGGCGGTAATTCAGGATTTGGTGGCCGTCCAGGAGGATTCGGTGGCGGACAAAGCGGGTTTGGTGGCGGCTCAGGAGCATTTGGTGGTAGTCCAGGAGGCTTTGGTGGTCTCGGACAAGGTGGGTTTGGAGGCGGCCAAGGTGGATTTGGAGGCGGCCAAGGTGGATTTGGAGGCGGCCAAGGTGGATTTGGAGGCGGCCAAGGTGGATTTGGAGGCGGGCGACCAAGAGGTTTTTAAAACATTCCACAGAACAGACTATAGACTGCATGGGAGTACAAGATATCATGTAGATTGCTATTAAAAATATGAAAAACTGTTTTTCGAAGAATATTATTTTGATCGGAACAGTGTCACCAAATTGTTGTAAATAAATTTTGCTTATTATTTGTTAAAAGTATGTAAATTAAAAAGTGTCGTGTTTGTTTACAAAACGTACATTTATTTATTTCTATTTCACCTATGACCTTAAAACAAAAAGGACTTAAAAATATCCCTTAACACTCTTAAGGGTGATTGATAAAACAGAAAACAATACAAATTTAAAAATAATAACTTTATTACAAATCTAGTACTAAGCATTATATACACATAACAAACAATATATACATATAACAAAAACATTAAATATATATTACGAATGGGTAGAGAAATACACAACTCACCTACTTTGTTATTTTTTCCAATTCTCATATGTGTAATAAACACGCACAATGTATATGAAGTTAAAATGGGAAACGAATTATACGACGAGACTACAATAATTATTTTAAAACAAGTTCAATAAAATCGTTTCAAAATATTAGAAATATATTAAGATGAATATTGTACCTTAAGTTAAGATCACCACAGTCTATCATTTTATAACAGCTTTTTAATGATAGTATTATGAAGTTGACTAACATGTTATAGCAAATCATCTTCAAAAAACTGGTTTAACGTGAATAACTAGTGAAAAATCCCGAGACTATTGACCCTATAAATACTTAAACGAAGTTTAAATTTAATTTGATCAGTATCCACACAACGGTGTTTAAAGGACATTATCAAAATGGCAGTTTCCAATGTAAGTTGGTCATTTTATTTAAAAATAAATGTATAAGAACGCTGTCCGTAAAAAATCGTACAGATAGCTACAAATTATTTTACTCTAGTTATTAGAAACACCGTGCATAGATGTTTTGGATTATTTTATAAATCTTATTAATACTATAAATGCCAATGTTTGGATGTATATACATGGATGGATGTTTGTAAGAAGGTAGCAGCAGAATGGCTCAAAGGATCTATAGATCTGAAAGTCTGGAAGAACACAATGGACACAAATTAAGGTTTTTTTTTAATTCCGCGAGGACGGACTATCGAGACAGCTAGTATTGTATAACAATCGGCTGCATTAAGTTTAATCGCATTAAAATATATTCAAATTACATGTTATTTTATAGTTATAGATAAATGAACAAATATAGGTATTTTATTTATTTCAGATGAGTCTTGTCCTAATCTTCATGGTAACTCTTGTGACAATTGTTAGTGGCCATAGCAGTTTTAATTATGGCGGAGACTATAGTAACCTCGGCGGTTTTAGCGGAGGATACGGTTACGATCAAGGTTACGGTGGCTATGGTGGACATAGCGGTTATGGCCATGGCCATGGACATGGACATGGACACAGTGGATATGGACACGGCGGTTATGGTGGATACGGCCACGGCAGTTATGGAAACGGCGGATACGGCCAATATAACTTTGGACAAGGACAAGGTTACGGAGGTTACGGATCATTTGGAGGATATTTTAGACGTTAAGTGGATAAGTCGTAATTTATTTTGTTAATGTAACCTTTTGTTTATTAAACCTTAAAACTAACTCTTTGTTTTTTATTATAAAAGTGGCACCTCTTGTCCGGGCAAATTTCCTAAAGGGACACGGCCCCCGGAAAGGTATTGTGATAGCATTCGTAGTAACATAGAACCGAAGTACATGGCGAATCTTGATCCCCTCACAATAAGATTCTGATTTTCGAACTTTGGTGGTGATAGAGTTTGAGGTATTTGATCATTAATTGCTTTCATTTGAGGAATATTTAATGTTTGAAGAATATTTGTATAAAGTAGAGGCGTTGGTTCTGGAGTAATTTCCGGTTTAGTGACAAGTGGTATTGAAGTACTTGCAGGTTGCAGTGTTGTTACTTCAACAGGAATACTAATTGTGTTTTGGCCTCCTGGCATCGGAAGGAAAGGTTTTATTGGTTCAACAATTTCATTACTAGGTTCAACGACAGGTATTATTTCAACTTTATTTGTCGAATCCTGTAACGGTTTCTCCGTACTTTGTATTGGTTGAACTGTTGATAAAATAACCAAATTCTGGGCTGGTAATGTAACTTCTGATTCCTTATTAACAGGTAACACTTGTAAATTATCCTTTTCATTTGATGGCAACTTAAATATATCGATTACATCGTTTGTATCTCTCTTCGCAATTTTTCTTATTAATCCAAACTTTCCGAATCTCGACCATTTTTCAAAAATAAATTCCAACGATTTAAACGGTGTAGGGTTAAATTGCACTTCGAATTGTTTCTTAATGTTTATTCCCGGTTTTGCGTATCCAAAATAAACATTGACAATTAAAACAGCAATCTAAAAAAATAAATAACCTTGAAATAAATGTGAATTTATGCAACAGAAATATTTGAAAACTATGTACAGATTTAGGTAACCACATTACACCATTATTCACTTTTCATCATAACTGTTATCCCTACAAAAATTTGGGAGTTTTTTTTGTCAATACAATAAAGTTATTCTTTGATAATACAGTTAAGATTCGTGATATAACAAATGCAGTACTTATTTGCAAGCTAATAAATACCTGAATCAAATATTTCATCTTGTAAAGAACAACACTGCACAAAATTCAGATTGAAAATGGATATCAATAATAGATTATTTCTCGTTTAAAGGAAAGTATCAAGGCAGTAAGTAATGATTCTTTAATATTCTATGGCCTCATGATACACACGCTACGGTCATTTGATCTTCACAAACTAGGTTAAGGTTTTGTGAAAAAGATCCTTATTCAATATTTCATGTATCTAAAGCAGGAAAACTATAAATCATCATTAGAAATCCCACGTCATTTTATTTACTACTAGCTGTCGCCCTCGACTCCGTCCGCGCGGAACAAAATAAAAGTTTTTATATGTTATATATTTATTCATAAAAAGTTACACTTTCATTTAAACCATGTCCCACAAAGTCAGTAGTCTATTGTCTTCCAGACTATCTTCTACATTTTGCCAAATTTCAACGAGATCTATGCAGCGGTTCTGGGGATATATTTAAACAAACATCCAATCCAAACATTCGCATTTATAATATAAGTAAGATTTGCTTTAATTGGTTAATTTTTCTAACAATGTGTTTTGTGCGAAAATGAAACCTTATAAAAAAATTAGTAAACTATAGACAATGTAAACAGTAATTGCTGTATAAATAATAAGAAAGAGACAATGTGAGGCTTTCGAAAGTCAAATAACTGGTTGTGGAAACTCATTCAGAATATTAATTACTTACTATCGTACGTCCCAACACATGTGTTGTTGAGAATACCCTTTCTACGACCTACACTTTATGCATCAATGAACATACCTACAATACTGCACATATACATAAGAAATATCGTTAATACTAATCTGTATGCTAGCTGTCGACCGTGACGCAAATTAAAAAAAAACTTAAGTAGCCTATGTATCCTTTCAGACTATGTTCTACATGTTAAATTTCAGAGAGATCCATGCAGCCGTTCTGGACATACTTTCTAACAGACATCCATCCATACATCCAAACATTTGCATTTATATAATACTAGCGGTCGTCCGCGACAGTCCGCGCGGTGTTAAAAAAAGAGTAGCCTATGTGTTCGTCTAGACTATGTTCTACATGTATGACAAGTTTCATCGAGATTCGTTCAGCCGTTTCGGAGATAACCCTCAAACAAAACATCCATACATCCAAACATTCGCTTTTATAATATTAGTAAGATATAAAAAATAATATTAACTTATTTTAATAGACTATGTAGAGAAATTTTAAATTACATTGAGACTACACCATTTTTACAAATAATGAAGTAGTATGTAATTACATATTTCGTAACCATTTCTCTCCACCACTTGGAAGAAGTGGAAAGTAAGCACTTGTTTAGCATCAGTTGGCATCGCGTGCGACAGTTCGCAAAGGACGCCGAGCAAGGTTGTCCGGCTTCCATTCCAATGTCGTCTCTTACATCAACATAATTCTGTGACCAGTGAAATTATGATAGTGAATCATGAAATATTGAAATTCGATTATAAAGTTCATTTTAGATTGTAAAACGGTTAATATCTAGTCGTGTAATGTTTTGGTAAGTTTTAAATTCAATTACTTTTATATCCTTTGGATTAGTGGATGTCAGACTGCTAGCAGCTTTTACTTGTCGGAGTTTTTAGTTCAAATCCCATTTTTTTCTTGACCAAATTGCTAATTTATTTGTCTAGGCTCTTAATGCAATTATTAAGTCCCCTAGGACGTTATGACATATATTGATTCCTCAATTAATTGATTGGTCAATAAAGTTTTTACAAAAATTTTATATAGCTTAAAAATAAGATAGAGTTTCAGTTTAGAAAATAGGAGAACTTCCAATATTACTAATATCTTACCTTAGAAGTGGTGTCAAAAAAATTCCACCGTGCATATTAACATACAAATTATTTTTGAATATATGTCGCTGTTATATATTGAATTGAAAACAAGTTCCACTGGTTTATGCCACAACCAAAACTGGTAATTATATAAAAAGTCGGTAAACTTACAGTAAGGTTCCACTGCTGAATCTTCTGTACAATAGTATATCTGTAGCTCTGTTTTTTAATAAAGAGAGATGACACAATTTACATGTGTCGTAGAAGTGGAAGCCTGCGGTAATTTTAAATCATGCGATAATATATTGCTTAAATTATGCTCTTTTAAATTATAACATATGGAAGGATGTAGTTTTAAAATTGTATAAAATTTCAGTTCTTCGTTTTTAACGTTTACCATTTATCAATATTAATAACGCCTACAGTATGTAAAATGTAATGTAAAAATTTAATACTAAAAACTATACTCGTATTAAGGTCATTTGCGTAAATTACGCTAAACAATGCCGTAACATCAATTTCTGTAAACAGTGGAAGTGAAAATCATTACGTAATACATTACTCACTGTGATGCTGAGACCAGTTTTCCTACTTTACGTTATCGCATCTTTCTTAACTGATAGATAAATTATAAAATTCTTTTTTTTTATAACGAAAGATTAAATTCGCAGTTAACAAAGTATTATTTAGATAAATCAAAAGTATATTGGTGAGATATTTTTTTAGAAAACTCCTTATTAGAAATTCACACTAAACGAAAATGATAATTAACTTAAAACTTTAATTTGAGCATCCAATATGATATATGAAGATTAAAATGTAGATCGTAGTCTTTTTAATATATCCTAAGCTAGATAACGCAGGTAAAAACTGACCGATGTAGATCGTTAACAGGTTTTTTCACATAAGAATAATTAACGCGTGATGTCATCGTTACTAAATCACGCGAGTATTTTTTTTCTAATAATAAATACTTACTATGACGCCATGCATAGACAAGGTTGTTAAATATTTGTAAATATACATTTTAATATGGATACTAAAAAAAAGTAATACTTTAAAAATACTACATAAATATAATAATATTATTCTTAAATACATTATGTAAAATATCTGTCGACATAATGACTGGAGTTATCGTTATCTAACAATTATTTTATCAATTGCTAAATTACAAAATAAAAAAGGTCAACCGAAAAACAACACACTGTAGCTAGAAATTGGTCAACTTCCTCATTCTACATGCGAATAACGAATAACACGCCCGTCAAATATGAACGGCATAATAATTAGTTTTGTTTACATCCTTTCCTAGAGAAAGTGAAATATAATTTACATTTGACGTACAATAGCCTATCCGCCACGTAATAAAAAAAATATACAGTAAATAATAATATTATACTAGTGGAATTAATCTTTTGCATTAAAAAAACGCTGTTTAAAACATACTGTCATCCCTTTCACTATTATTGTAAAAATAGATGTTTCTCTCATAAACTAAGGATTAGCCAAGCAATTGGGTTTTACAAAAATATTTTACTTTTCAGAACCATGGGCTTAGCAAGAAAAATCTTAAGGCTCATATTTTTCCTTCTATTCTTGAAGCTATGCTGCTGTCATGATAACTGGCTGGAACACATTTTCGAGGTCGGAAACGATGAAAAAAGAAGTATGCCAGATGCAGTCTTGGACTTTTTGGATTACGTATTTCCTAAAGATGATTCGGAAACTTCAATAATGAAAGAAATATTCACAATGTTCGCTGAAGATGGACCACCGGGATTACACAGTGGATTGTCGGCGTTGGAATATTTAATGGACTGATTAAAAATCTACAGCAATTAAAAAAATTACAGCTAAGTTTCTAAAAGAAACTGTTTATACCAATTAATTGGCAATTACAACTGTCTACGCTCGAATGACTAACATTAATAACGTTTACGTCAACTTTACTTGACTTAAAAGACGGTTCAATTGTAGTTTGTAATCTTATTTATTTTATTTTATTTAGTTTTATTTTACTCGACTTTATTTATTTTATTTTAATTAGCCAAAAATATTTAGCCATTTTGCCTCATTAATGTAGTAGCGTAACATAACTGTAGATAACTTTTATGTTCGTTAGCATTAATTAAATTATTAAAATGTATGCAAATTACTTGAAATTTTTTATTTAACCCGGCGTTAAAGGGAAGAATGGTAAAACTTATTTTTTAAATATTGTGAAGCAAACCCTAATGAAAAAAAAGTTTAGCGAAAAAATCGAATGAATGAATGAAAAAATAAATTATTTTACCTTTCGATAATTTTAACGACTTTTTGTATATTTTTATAGTAGTAACGGTAATTTAAGGTTTATATGAGGGACACTTTAATGCGTGTTACATTTGATTGATAACATTCCAGCTATAAAAATTTCTTCACGTATCTATTTAACTCATCTATATTTACGCGTTTTATAATTGTCGACAAACAACACGCTCGCGTATTTCTAAACATCTTGTCGTAGGTTTACGAAAATTTTGAGATGTGACGTGTTTTAGAGCTTCTTTATGATTACCGTTCTCAGGTCCACTTCCGTTTACATCATTTACGGGACTATTGTCATCATCGTACATAGGAAGCATATTATCGATAGGTGGTCTTCTTGGATTTATAAAAGGACCGTTAACGTAGCCACATTCAACCCTACCCCCACGTATGCGACATCCATTCTGCAATTCAACATCGTTGTCATTTTGAAAACCTCCTATGTTTCTATTGTAGCCACATAGTAATCGATCACCAACTGTTTTACAAAGCGAAGGATCGAAATCGTAAGGACAACAGCGAGACCTCGGTTTTGTGGTGTCATCTTTAGTTAAATCGTCCTTTAAATGTTCTACTTCATTAATTCTTTTTTTATCTGCATTAACGCAACTTGCAATTACTTCACGTGGAGTTATTGTTAAAACCTGCAAATTATATATTATAATTAAAAATAAAGATTATTTTAATACAGAGAACATTTTAGCCACAATCGACTAACCATAATCAAGTTAACGTAGAAACTGATCATTGCTGTTATCGTAAAACACTAAGTTAATGCATTTCCAATTATAGAACAATGTAACTTTGGTACAGTACTACTATATTACAACCGCAAAACAAAACTGCTTTATAATATTAAGCATTTTTTTTATTTCACTTATTCTATTATAATATTGTAACTAAACAATTTATGATAAATGAACTGAATTACTCTCTCTGTCTCTCCCTCTTCTTACACTTGAATCCACTGTTCGTTTGTCCCAAAATCATAAAAAAAACAAAGCCAACCTAAGTGAAAGAAAATGTAAATAATGTTGTTTTAAAAGCGCCTGCAATATTCTTAACGTTGTAATTGTGTTTTTTTCGTCAGGCGCGATGAATTTCAAAAGTGAAAGTAACTTGAGAGTAAATTTTTTACAGTATAATAAGATATCGATTTTCTATAACAATATAATAAATATTTGTCGCTCAGTCTTAGCTTTCACTTTTTATGAACAGAACGTAAAAATATTATAAATATAAAATTATAGCGGCAATATTGAGGATCTGCCGCAATGATGGTCAAGCGACTTAGGAGATGGCACATTTGTATTACGGAACATATGTAATCATTTTAGTAATTTTCTTGATGAACTCATCAGGTGTGGCATTAACCTTGAAATTTCTCATACTACTTATAGGATTAACATGTATCTATAGCAAAATTGAATCTTGCTAGAGGCAAACTAAGCAGGAACAAATTTTTATTTTTTAAAGTTATTAATAAAACACAAACAAGGCACAAACTTGATGTCTATATAAGGTTTTTAGGAGATTACTGTAATAATAATCTTAATGTACTTATGTATTATCTCTATTGCATATGTTATAGCAACGTTCATTACTTTTTAATTGTGAGAAAAAAGATACAAAACTTGATATTTTACATTCCAAGCCTATTGTTATCATGCTGGGATAATCCCAATAATGACTCACAATTTAATTTAAACTCTACTTACATTTTCATTAACAATTAAAGTAAATATCAAGGACTAGGAACCTTTAAATGTGAGAGCAAGCGAGCAAATTCACTATTAATTTTAAGGCAACATTTCCGAATATCGTGTGTTAGTAAGTTTTTGTAGACAAAGGACCTTACCTTCTCCGGTACACGTTGTAGTAAGTGTATAACGATCTGTGTTATCTTATACTATTTTTAAAATGGCTTTTGTTCCTAATATAAATATTTTGATCAATACCAATTTTAACCAAATATTCTCAAATTTTGTGAGCATTAGGGTATGTTTATTGACTTATATAATGTTTGAAAACAAATAAATGGTACACTTTAAGCTTATATCAACTACATAATAAATTTGAATCTCTTTGCAGTCAGTACCAAGTAATAAAACTTTCACGATAGTAAAACCTAATTTTAATTTTAATGTAAATATCAATATCTTTTCATTACTTTTTGGAATTACAATGTCATATTGTTTCTTGGTAAGTGTCGTGTTTTATATACTCTTTTTCTAAGCGGAGCAGACCTTCAGGTAGCAAAATTTAAGATGTAATCATTTATCCCAATCCGACGTGTAATTTAAAAAAATAGACGAATAGTTTTTTTGCATAAAATGCCATGAACCCATCTACCAGCGACGTCGTGTGAAGTCATAAATAATAATAGTAACAGCCCAAATATTATAAAAGGATTTTCGTAAGCATTATCATTTTACTGTATTAAAACATAATTATACTTACTATTTCAGGCATGCTCAATATTAGAAATGATTGTTTTCGTGAAGAGTGCTCCTAAACTTGGTCACATTTTATTTGATCCACTTGATTATGAAGCGAATTTAACACTAGAGGTCACAAGAGAGACGGAAAATACTACTGACAATCAATATTTACGATCGAACCTAACTAATCAAATCTTAACTACAAAAGCGTCAAATAATTCAAATGGCTATGGTTTCGATGAGACTATATGCAAAGAAAAGAACGATAGAATTTTATGTGGATACAATAAGAATATAGATAATCTTGAAAATAAGGAAATATCAGAAGAATCAGAAAATGGATGTCGAATACGTGGTGATAGATTAGAATGTGGATATTTAATTGGACCATTCACAAACCCCAGACGTCCACCCGCAAACTACGAAGAACATGAAGATATGAACAATACACAATCTGAACTAAATCATAATATAACGACACAAGCAACTGTAGCTACATCGGGAATTACTTCTACCAAAACTCAAACAGGGATTCAATCACAGATATTGAAACTTAGCAAAAATAAGACCACAAATAAATTAAACATTTCAACGACCATAACCCCTATCAAGATAACGACAAATACAAGACCAGAATTACTTAATAAATTAATAATGCAAAGCTCTAAAAACGAAACTACCAAAAGTAAATGTGTTGATAATAATGATCATCTTTTTTGTATTCCAATAAATATAAAAGAAAATTCTTGAAACCAAAACGATAACTTGTTTCATTTATTAATTTATATTTTATATCAAAATAAATTAAAACCTGTGCATAAAAAACTTAGGTCGTACCACTTATGTTTTCCTTTCTTCAACATAACTTTTCAAAAAATCACAAATGCACAAGTATTTTTTTGGTATCGGAGGAGAAATTTTTGAAGGATCCCTACCAACATAAACTGGCATCTGATGGATTTGAACTTCTAAAATCCCTTTTGGTGGCCAATTCCAAACGCAATAGTAAATTTTCTTCGATCTCCAAGAAATGCACCGGAACCGAAAAGCAGATATATGTATGTACATTGATACCATGAATAAACATTTTAAATTACTATCATAGTCAAATTACCTGTGAATGAATATGTTCTTGATTCTTAGTTTAGTTATATTTTGAAGTTTATTATTATATAATATTTGAAATGAACGATAAAGGTGGGACGAGGTGAATGTTTTGAAGCATTCTCGTTCTTGTTATTTCCGTAAAAAGATAAGCTTATTTATAAAACTTGATATCAAAAACATTGAAGCGTTGTTATTATTAACATTGTTGTATTATGTTTACTATTCATATATTTACAACTTCCTTGAAGTATCTTCATAATTTCTTTAAAATTTATTATAGTTTGAATAATATTATTCGCTTGAAAATAATCAAAGTTAGCAAATAAATCATAAGTACGAAATATGCTTTTTTATTATACATATAGACACCGTCCACTCTAATTTTGTCCATATATATAGGTAATGGTTAGATATAAAAAAAAACATGCTTATTAGAATCCCAGCCAATGGGATCTTTCTAAAGGGGAATCAAACGTTCATTATGGCCGTATGTTTATTTTTTATAATATTGTTTGTGAATTTATAATAAGATGGAAAAAAAATGCATTACGGGTCATTTTGCTGCACCACATAAGTCAGAGCATAGCTTATCTAAAAACTATATAAATAGATGTCCAACGACAGCCACCACGACCATTGTGTGAGGAATCTTGCCAAGATGAAGACAGTAAGTACCAAATATTTATATTATTTTTAAATAAAATTTAAATTTAAGCACTTTCCTAAAATATTTTTTTACCTTTATATCACGACACGCTTTCAACATTTTTGGAGGCTAAAATTTTTGATTGTTTCCCCTTGGTTCGATTTAAGGCTCAACCAGAAACTAACGATTTTTGCAAACTACTGCAACTAATAAAATGGGATAAAAACATATAAATCCTTTGAAATTTAATTGATATTTTATAAATCTTCGTGGGTCATGTGTTGTGGCTTTGTTTTGAGTATTATTTTAATAATATATCATATTTTCTTTACAGATACTATTCTTTGCGCTGTTGATGTGCATTTACATGGCCTGCACCTTGGCGTTACCACAACCTGGTAATGCTGAGGTATTGCAGCCATCAGAGTCGAGGTGGGGAGGAAACTGGGGCCGAGGAGGTGGCTACGGTGGTAGCTGGGGCGGCGGAGGTTATACAGGAGGATGGGGTCGCGGAGGTGGTTGGGGAGGTGGTTGGGGACACGGCGGAGGACGGGGTTACGGTGGTCACGGATGGGGAAGATAAAACATACGTCAAAATATAACGAAAACCATTACATTAAAAAATAAGTGACGAAATTGAATAAAATTCTTCCGTAATAATATTATTCTGTACGTGTGTAATCTGTGATTTGTTTATTTACTAAATTAAAATTTGATTTAATTTAAATTCATGTTTTTTTCACTGTAGTGTAAGTGTGTAACTAATAGCTTAAAATATCGAAGGCTTTCCAACGATTATAAAACTAATGCTATAATATTAATGAAGTTAGTAGTGATTCAAAAGGTATGACATAAAACGAATATTTTCGTACAGTAATCAGCTGACCATTTTAACAGTTTGAGAAAAAAAAATGTATAATAACTATTTCAAGTCGACTGGAGAAACAAACTTAGTATCATCAATCAATACTTAAAAACTACTCTCAGTTCGCTTATTTAGAAGTACCGGTACCTCTTCCAGTCACAATCGAGGACGACCGAAGGTTTTTAAGTAATTCGCACATCACATAACCTTTTCCACTATTACTATCACAATAATCTTAATAATTTTACTAGTATTATTATCAATGAGAATGTTTGGACGAATGGATGTATGTATTTTTGGACACTGTTAATTAGAATCCTTTGGCGCGAATAGCGCGCTTTCATTACAAAGTCAAGTGTCAGAATGATTAGTGAGGGGACATAGACGACGACATAGTAAGGCGCAAGTACACCGGCACAGTGTCGGATTTTCTTCCTAACAGTTTGAATGTTTTTAGAAGGTATCTCCAGAACGACTCAACGGAACTTTATGAAATTAAGCACAGATATAGAACATAGTATGGAAGAACACAGAAGGCTACGTAAGTAAGTTTTTTTAATCCCTCGCGGACGAAGTCACGGGCGACAGCTATTTACATATGATTCGGAAATAGACATGGTCAACTAATAAAATAGTTTAACTTTTATTATTAAAAACTCATGAAACAAAGTATATGTTATAAATATGTAAAACATTATGTTTATGTGTTCAGTCTCATCCGTGTATTGGAGTCAGGAAGTGACATTTTAAATAGGTGACGAATAATTTTCTTCGCAGTAACCACATTCATACATTAAACGGTTACTTTATGAGTCATTAATATTGCTATTTTCTGTGAACATTGTCGTACGCAAATAACTCAAATGAAACAGGTATTCGCTGATAAAATGTAAATAAGCCAATACTAGGACCAACCAATGCTTTATTTTTCTGTCAGATGTTATGATCGTCGCATTGGATCCGAATGAAAATTCCTTTGCTCAGATGAAAACAAACGAAAGTCACTTAAAAAAAACTTTGTATCTGGTGACTGTATTACTTTAATAACATCCGGGAAAGAATATGTACATATGGCGCTAACATTACTATAAAATACTGTCCTTTTAGTTAAGAAAATTGTTATTAACTATTATATAAAAATTAGGGTAACTTAATCTAAACTTAGATTTTTAGCAGCGTAATAGCATAGATACATACCACAGAACAGGGGTACAGTAAATCGGATTTATAATTTTTTAAATTAACTATTCCATATTTATAATGATATGATTCTTTGTACAATAACGCACATTACAGATTTAATTTATTCCCAAAACAGCAATTACGCTTTTATTTCCAGTTAATGATCGTATTTATCTTAAAATAAGCATATATTTGTTACTTCGTCGTAATAGTCGAAAAAAAGGTTTTATTACATTACGCTTTGGTTTTATTGTAGAAACAAAAGGGAAACAGATGTAGCACAGATCGTGTTTTTGAAAAGACCGGTTTCTACGTTACTTTAGATAAATAACTAGAATATCTATAGGAATTTTATATGAAATACATCAATGGCTTACATGGCTTAAATCATTAGCAAGTAACAATTCGAAGGACGTGTATTACAATATTAAATACTTTGTCAGATTCTTTGATACGTATGTATATAACTTAAGAACAAACGTGGCTCTAACTGCCATAACATTGAAAAGTGGTCCTTTGAAGCGTTAAATCGATAATTACAAGTTTTAAGATCACCTCATGTCATCTATCATTCATTAGTGGTAAATAAACAGAATTCTTTTTAGGCGGCCTCGAGATAAGGAAAACCCGTATTTATTAGTAATCTTTAAATATATTAAATACAGCTGTGCCCGTGACTTCGTCCGCGTGAAATTCTGTTAGCATTTTAATTATTTAGGCTACTTATTTTACGAACACTTATAGTACATAACAACAAAACATATTACATTGATAAAACATTCACATAAACCTCACATATTCTAATACTTTATCAAACCTTCATCCCTTATTCCCTCTTGTTATTATGCACCCTTGAAGGTAACATTTTTACAAAAATTGAATGTCATATTTATTGAAATCACATTAACAGCCTTAAAAGTAAGTTACAAACTTCTATCTCGTAAAACTGACGATACTTCCATACAAATTTCCACACCCACTTTCAACCCCTTACAACCCTTTTTTAGCATTAAAAAGTAGCCTTTGTCCTTTTCCAGGCTACTTTTTAGCATTAAAAAGTAGCCTTTGTCCTTTTCCAAGCTCTAGACTATCTTTGTACAAAACTTCATTTAAATCGGTTCAGTAGTGTTTGCGTGAAGGAAGGACAGACAGACAGAGTTACTTTCGCATTTATAATATTAGTAAGGATTTCTTAACACTCTTAGTCTTTAGACTCCTTGGGCTTTCTGACCGGCAAGTAATCAGCAAGTCATTAAGAACTATTCTAAAAAGAGGCGTGGAACTATAATGAAGATCTTTAGATAAGCAAAGAATAATTTTGACTAAGAATTGCTTAACTTCAAGAAAACTAAGACAAATCATAGTTAAGTTTTGTTAAAACACGCGCGCCGTTTGCCGTTTGCCTTACGTCAGCCATATCTGATGTACAATAACGATTATTACTGTTTTTTTGGACAATCAAGACGAGAATTCGACGTTGATGAATAAAAAGGACGAGACCTCAGAAACTCTAACATTGCTTCTCGGACTTCGCCAAAATGAACACTGTGAGTAACATCATTTCAATTGTTCCTTTTGTTGAAACATATTTTGTCGATTTAACATTCAAATCATGTTTTTTTGAACTTTAGTTTGATCTTGGTTAACTAAGGAATTAACAATGTTATATCGTATGATTCATTTCATAACATTATTTTTATTAAATTACTTGTGTTCTACAAATCAATTTTATACAATGAAAAGACAAACGAGAGTCGCATGATCGAAAAGTTGTTTACTGTACACTATAATTTGTCGTATTTTCTTTGTTTCAGATAATATCCATAGGGCTAATATGTATTTGTCTAACATACATCCGGGCTATGCCAGCACCCAAAGACGTTGCACAAGCGCAACCAGTTGCAGCTGCAGATGATTTACAACCTGAAGAAACAAAATGGCGTCGCCATCACCACCGCGGCAAGGGGTGGGGTAATCAAGGTTTCGGAGGAAATTACGGTTCGGGCCGAGGCTGGGGAGGCGGAAACGGCGGAGGCTGGAGAGGCGGATACGGCGGAGGCTGGGGAGCCGGATACGGCGGAGGTGGAGGTGGAGGTGGCGGAGGTGGAGGTGGAGGAGGTGGAGGATATGGCGGCGGTGGTGGTTACGGCGGCGGCGGAGGTTACGGCTACGGAGGAGGCTACGGGGGAGGTTATGGAAGATAATGTTATAGATCTTAAAGTTTTAAATTGTAATAATAGTTTAAAAATGTAAATGTTTAAATGGTACTAGCAAAATAATTGAAATGAAAAATGTTGTACAATGTTTATAATAGTTAAATTATCTTAAATGTTTCAACCTCTGAATAGCTTGGAGAAAAATTAAAAGACAATACCAGTAAAACGTTTAAAAATATGTTTTTACCAAAACTCTACACCTACAGATTTATTTAAATAAAAGCAATTTGGCCAGTAAATGATTCAAGCGTGTTTCTTTTCTTAAAAGTCCTTCGAATATAAACACAAATATAGATACTAGGGCAATGCGTTCAAAATATGTTGAAGGCGCATGAGACCCTAAATTCTTTTCAATTTCACTCGACACTTGTACAGAAAGTTTTTTTTCTTTAATAACGAATAAACTAGCGCTATACCACATTATCTGATGTAGTCGACAGATGGTACGCGTTGGATTGGCGCCGTTAGTTTGGTATGAAACACGAAATAAGCTATTTAATTTTACGTAACTAACAATTTTGTTCTTATTACCATGTCATTGGAAAAAGCCGAAGGGGATTTCTAAAAACTTAGGTAATTAACCCTTTCAAGGGTCACATTATTTGTAGTAATGAACAATTTATTTGAGCAATCTTAGAAATAGATCCAGAACCAGTTTTATTGCGCAATATTATACAATGATTGAATTAATTAATCTGTCTGTCGATGAAACATAATATTCAGAAAAGAATAGTCACTCAAAATATTACAAAGAAATATCAGGAGCTGTATCAATACATATGTAAGTACCTAGACAAGTGCAAACGCTTTATTAATTATAGCTGTCGCCCGCGACTCCGTCCACAAGGAATTAAAAACACTTAATAAGTAGCTTATGTGTTCTTCCAGACTATTCTCTACATCTATGCCGAATTTCAGCGAGATCCATTCATTTCCATCCATCTATTCATCCATTTACACGCTCGCATTTAAAATATTAGTTGGATTTGATTAACCTAAGAGGACAACTTGATTTTGAATTGGTCAATGACTCAACTTCAATTATACATCCTTCAGCAATGTCAAAATAATTGCATAAAAAACGTACGAACCTACTCAATTTTAACATATAAGAATTTGTTTCTCATCGCCCGTAATATTACAAAAAGAAAGATTTTTTTTTTAATTTGTTGTTTTTCTTAGAGTACTAAAGGCTTGTCTAATATAAATTAATTAAGAGTTATTAATTAGAAAAGAATTTTAAAAAAGGTACTAAGCTATAGACCAATTAGTTCACCTAATAAATGAGTTTATACATATACCGCGTGACTGAATGTACATGTCTTAAGTAATAATATTATTAAGATGCATTTATGTTATCTTTAAAAATAATTATTGCTCGACCGTTAAATTAGTGCTAGGGTAACTTAATCTAAACTTAGATGAAATATAGCAGATATATTTTTATTACTTTAATTATATATTTTAACTATAAGAAAAATAAGCAAATTGGTGTATTACTATTTTATATTTTTCTAACTATTTACGTAAAAATTTTTCTCTTTCACAACTTCAACATAAAACGTTTTATTCGTACACATTATCAAACTTTGTATTATTCTTATCGTTTTGATTTTTATTGCATGGTCCTTGAAGATCTTGAGACGCAAAAAAATGAAATCATAGAATATATTTTATGAATCCTGTTCTAGCAATAATGTATATTTAACACGTTTTATAAAACGAATAACTTCAGCCTACGTGCTCGAGAAGGAAATATAAAAATTCACAAGCAAACGCCGTATACGTTGGATGCGAACGTAAAAAAGAATAGATTATAAAATCCATTAAGAGATAAATTGCTCGCATTTTGTTGATGAAACCTGTTTAAGTTTATTGTTGTGATTCCCCCGCTTGCGGATGAGTGCGGAGCAGTTTATTCACCTGACGGACTGTATCTAACATTGGTAGAGAACGCATCCGGCATTTGCTGGAGGTCTAATAACCCATTTGCCCAATGCAACGACTACACAGAAAACAGGCGAGAAGTGGAAGTTATACTGCGTTTTGTCTGATTAGTTACGTTCGATAGGCTAAATGTTAGTTCTCTTTCTCATCATCATCGCACTATACGTTGCCGCTGAAGGGCTCGGAGCCCACCCTAAGTTAAGGGTGAATCGGCCGTAGTCAACCATGCTGACCAAGACCGTGTTGGTTGACTTCCACATGACGGAAAGAGGAATTGTCCATTATACAAAAATACTCCATTTCTGTACGTGTCCTCCTCTACACATATAAGGCATCATATCAACAACATGTTGGAAATGTCTATGAGTAGTGGGCCGTTCGCTATCCGAAATCCTGTGACCGTTGGCTTTTTTTCCAGTTATTCTACAAAGAACTAAGGTTATATGATATGATATATGATATATATATATACACATACATATACATTCGTATGTTCCTATTATAGCGTATTATATTATATAACGGTATTTTGTTAGAGACCGTAGGCGTAGCTATGACGCAATACAAAAACATTCGCACTGATGTGACTTCATAATTCGTTTATTTTGTTTCCTTTACATTCTCTTTGAAAAAAACAGAGACAGCAATATTGCAGTGTCGCGACAATCGTAACCCACTGTTACAAGCAAGTGTATCTAGTAAGTATACAAAAAAGAAGAAACTAAACGACGTATATCCCAAATAACTACCCTTAACCAGAAAAGTTTTTGGTATTACGTTACTCAACACTAAATAATTTTGATAATTTATTCTCCAAGCTAGTTAGTTATGGGCGTCAAATGGTTAAAAATATATGCATAACTAGCTGTCGCCCGCGACTCCGTCCGCGCGGAATAAAAAATATCTAATTAGTAGCCTATGTGTTCTTCCACACTATGCTATAAATGTATGCCAAATTTCACCGATATCCATTCAGCGGTTCTGGAGATACCTCATCCATCCAAACATTGGCATATATAATATTAGTATGATATGAAAATATTGATTAGTCGTCTATTAAGATTTAATTAAGTTTAATATAATCATAAGTTTAATATTATTTTAAAGTATAATTTTAATATGAATAATTAAAGCTACATATGGGCTTTCCCTGTTTTAACTTTAAAAAAATAGCACGTTATTCGAGCAAATCAAGTTTCAAGGTTCTCGTGTGTGAGTAACAGATTCCAAATAAATACGGGGGCTGTTTATAGCCACGCCATCACTATTCAACAGGACATAGTAAAATGAACACTGTAAGTAAATCCCAAAATATTTACTTGATTAAATTCTATATTTATCTCACAAATTATAGTAGAATTTCTGTAAAAATAATCTTACTATCTTACTTCTTATTAATTAAACATAAATGCGAATGTTTGGATGGATGGATGTTTGTTTGAAGATATCTCCAGTACGGCTCTATGGATCTCGCTGAAATTTGGCATAGATGTAGAACATAGTCTGGAAGAACACATAGGCACCTGAGCCTATTTTTAATTCTGCGCGGACGGAGTTGCGGGCTAAGGCTATTGTCAAACAAAAGTTTTATTATCGATTTAGTTTCACATCATACATACATCACAGTTTGTATGCGTATGTGGTTTTGTATGTTCATTTTGTTGTGCTCTCCTGTAGCCTTAACGGCTTAACAAATTTAAAGTCTGAGACATCATACGAATCGTAATTTTATAATTTATAATATAATCACAAATAGCACATATAAACTCGTTGGGTTGATTTAAATATTAATAACTTTATTTATCTTACAGGTAACTTACACAATTTTGGCGCTATGCCTTCTAGCAATGACTATGGCATTACCTACGCCTGGTGGTAAATTGGTGCAATCAACTGAAGTTTTACAACCAGAGGAGTCTAGATGGGGTTACGGTGGCCATGGTTACGGCGGACACGGTTACGGACACCACGGTTATGGACATCAGGGCTGGGGTAACGGATACGGTCGTGGATACGGAGGATACGGAGGATATGGCGGATACGGTGGCGGTTTCGGATACGGTGCTGGCATCGGCATCGGCTATGGTTTCGGAGGTGGATACGGATACGGCGGATGGTAAATGTAAAATGGGACCTTTGTGATCTAATGTTTTAAGCTGTGTATAATTTTGATTAGTGTGTTATATGCCAGAACATTTAATACATTTGTAAATAGCAACCATCAATACAAACCTGTAAGCAAAATGAACTTATTGAAATAATTCAAATAATAAAAACAATAAATTATCATACCTAGATATTTGGAATTTTATTTAATGTTAGAAGAACCACAGCCACGTAAGATAAAAAAATCAATATAATTAAGTTTATATTAATTCATAGTGCAAATATACCTATATTGGGGGCAAAAATTGTAGACTAACAACACAAATGCATAAAGAACAAATAACCATTGTCTTGTTTAGTGTCTATTTTCGATTTATCATTTAGCCTAAATCACTATAGCGTCATTTTTTGCCAATTTAATTTCACTCAATTCTGTATCTAAGTAACTTATCATTGAATACGACGCACGATTCGATCTAGAACAAATTAACGTAACAAATTGCAACTCTAATGGAAATGCAAATACGATGTCTTTGCGAAAGTCCACAGTTTTGAAATTATCAAAATCGCATGTAATTTCTGTGAGAAGTCAAATATTGGTATATTTTGACTTTCATTTTATATAGGTTATCTTAAAAATAACTTATTTACAACGTTGTTATATGGAGGTCATTCGGTTCCTCTTCTTGTTTAAAACGTGAAAATTTTGCGCGTTAATATACACTCAGGCCGGTTTTTTATTGTAAATGTCATATAAACTAGTTTAATAGCTGTAAAAATGGTATATGGCTCTAAGGATTGTTTATTTACTTTTTTACAATCTACCGTAAGAGAATGGTCGCATTCTTATGTTCTTCCATCATTCCTTAGACTTGATGCAAAAGCTCAGTAGTCAAGTAACCTCAAAGTACATGGAAAATTCGTAGGCCGGAAATATTTGATTAGATTCCGTAAAAATGTCATTATTAAAAAAATCTACTTAAAAAACAGATGGTGGTTGGATTTGGAATAAGAAAACATATGCCGATCGCGCTTACAAAAAATGATTATGGTGTTGGATATGAAATGAGATTTAACAACAGAATATTAATGTGTAATCAACTTTTCGTTTGAAATGTTGATTGATTAGCGATTTCACACCGTACACAATTTCAGTCACGCATTCAAACCTTTTCTGGTATTTCGTTCATACGTATTATCGGTAACTTACAAATCAATAAAGTAAGATAAACAAAGAATCTACAGGCAATGATTGCTTCGCTCTTTCGACAAATTCAGGTAGCCGCTCACTCGCTTGACACCTTACAACATAGAAGACAACATGTAATTTAATGAAACTGATGATTTAATTTATGGTTGTTAACAACAATTTGTATCTCATAGCGCGAGACATGATACATCCTAATTTAACCTTTGTCTGACTTTTCTAAGATGTTATATTTAAATAAGACGAATCTTACTAATTATTAATACGAATTGTTTGGATGAATGGACATTTGTTACAAGGTATCTCCAGAATGGCTGCAAGGATTTTACTGAACTTTGGCATAGTTGTAGAACAAGGTCGGGAAGATCACATGGTCTATTAATTAAGTTTTGTTTATTTCCGCGCGGACGGAGTCGCGGGCGACAGCTAGTATAAAATAGTTTAGAATCCATTTATAAATCCTACATAATATTTTGTCACTCTATCCTAATTAAAGTTCATTGTATTCTCATCAGATTGCGTTGGTTTCATCAAAATTTTGCACCAAACACTGTGACGAATAAAAATCGTATTTATTTATATTTCAAAATATTTCAAATAATACTTTGTTACTTTATAAGAAACACGTTGCCTAAAATATACCCAGGTGAATAAACTGTAGAGTTACGAAAACTTTTTATTCTAAAACGTACCTAAAAACCTATGCGCGGTATTCACATTAATTAATATTATATTAACGATTAACTTAATTTTGATATAAAAAATACTATATTTCTTCTCAGTTCTGCAGTATCAGTTATTTTAATAACAATTCATTCGAATTCAGAAGTCATTGACACTACGGTACTAATTTGAAGACACGAGAAAAACACAGTACAAATTGAAATTTTCGTAATATCAAACTAAGATCGACTATTTAAGGTCACTGAACTTATATATTTTTTGCGCGTTTAAGAAGTGTTTTTGTTAAATGATGACCTTATCTAATACTTTTTAACATAATTATTTTTCGTGGAAACAAAAACCCATACTCATAAATATAAGTGAAAAAATGCTTTCAAATTGCTTTATTAACTTTGTTTTTTTATCAAAACGTGTAGCCTGAAGCCTTTTGTAATAGTGCCTAAAATGTATATAAGAATACATGTGCTTTTGTTAATGAACGAAATAAATAAATAAAACTAGCTGAACCTCGTATGCATTGCAATAAAAAAAGTTAAATAAAAGATCAATAACTCAAAATAATTTCAGATGCATTAATGCAATAGTTTCTTATCTTTGGTTTTGGATTAATTTATATCCATTCGACTTTGTAATCGTGGCAAACTGGGATAAACACAATGTAGCAAAAATCACGAAATCGCATTTATTAATATTTTCTGAGCTGTTTATTTTGTGAACGAAAATATAAGAAACATTGTTCCCAACAGGTTATTACGCCCGTGTGAAATATTTTAATCACTACCTTCAAAGTTATGCTTGGTTTATATTATTCCAGGACAGTGGGACAGTAGCGCTGGCCTGGTATGGACTGCGTTGGCTCACTGGCACGAGTTAGTGTTTATATTATGCCAGTTGTACTGTACTGAAATAATGTAAGCATGACGGGCATGTTTTATATCCAGTTTATTAAATTTGTCGATGTAAGATGATTATTTGTATTAAACAAAATTCGTATCATTATATCCATGCCTCATTAAAAAAGCCCGCCTAAGGAAAATACCATTGACAATGTTAGGTGCGTAATTAGAAAAATTTGAAGAATGGAAATAACCAAGACTAGCCAGAGGTCGTATACAGTTTTCTATATGTGCATAGTAATAACCCAAAGGTGCAATAGCTGGCGACATTAAATTCATTAGAAAATACATTAAACTTTTAATTACATTTACACGGATCAACTGAAATATTATATGATATTGATGATTGGTATATTTTCTTCAAGATACAAACTTTGAGAATGATGTGACAAGAATTCGACATGACATATGTATTCCATAATTGTCGAAAGAGAGAAAAAACTCCCTGACAAATCGATACACTTTTCAAACAATAAAAACCGAACAACCAATAGCTTTTAAAGTTCAGAAAAATTCTTATTTATCCCGTAACATAACCAAAGAGTTACACTACCACTTAGGTTATTGAATCGCATTTACTTGGTTTGCTATATGTTGAGAACCAATAAAGAGAAACAAAGAAAAAAGAACAAGTAAAGAAAGAAGTAGATACTAACATCACCCAATTTTCATAACATTGCTTTATAGAAAAATAGGAATTTTGTCAAAAAAGAATTGCAATTTAATATTTAATAATATTACACAATGTATGGAGCATTTAAACAATAAATTTATTTTCACACAATCGATATAAAAAGTTCCACTATCTCAACACCATGTGTTAATATACGTATGTCAATAGTTATGAGTCAGGCTGCGCTTTAGTTTTTCAGAACCGTATTTGAATAAATAGCCAGGCTCCTTGACCAACACCATCATTACTCGACGAGATCCAGTAAAATGAAGACTGTAAGTACCTTACGTATTCTTCGTAGAATTAAAATTATAATAATAAAATATTATTTTAAATTAAATTAAATTGTCAGTTTAATTTTTTTATTTCATTCATTGGATTGGACAATGACTTATGATCCTCAGATTTTTTAAATAATATTCTAAACCGAATTCTAAGTAATTTATCGGGATAAGTTCGGGTGACAAAAATAAAGATTGAAGTGATTATAGTTACGTCCATCTAGTACAACCATTAGATATTATACAATTATTTAAGTGTTAAAAATGATCATTATTACTATTCTTCTCCAGATCGTGTGTGTCAGTTTGTTGGTATGCTGCGTTGTGGTCGCAAACGCGCTGCCTGCGCCTGAGGCAGCATCCGAAGAAACTACTACACAAGTGGTGGAAGAAATCAAGCCTCTAGCGACAAGTGACGATGTATTGGAACCACAGGAATCGAGATGGGGTTGGGGAGGTCGCGGATTCGGTGGCTACGGAGGCTACGGTGGCTACGGTGGAGGATGGGGTCGCCCTAACTATGGATGGGGGCGCCCTCACTACGGTTACGGAGGCGGCGGTTTTGGTTTCGGAGGCGGCTATGGTTACGGCGGGGGATGGGGACGCTAAAAGTTTTTAATGCTCTTATCACTGTCCCGATTATATTCCATTTATTTTTGTTGCAATTGACCTGTGATGTATCGCCTCGATGAACTAACCATACATAATCATTGTCAAGATTATCATGTTCAAATCAGTTCATAATAAATAAACTTTTTTTACAAGAACATGTATTTTAATAAAAATACGTTTATGTAAAAATTTTCTCTGTTTTCTTACTCACCCTTCACTACAAGTATAAATATATATGATTTTGGAAAATTTTGTTTTTAAAACCGCAATACCAACGTACTAAAAAAATCGTACGTAAAATCTATCAAAAAGATTAATACTAAAAACAATAGTGTTTTGATTGTTTTCTACTATATAATTAATTATCACAAAAAAGTCTACCATCTGCAAAGTTTAATGACCACATTAAACAGGAAACAATACATTACGTAAATACGTCATTTTAATAAATAAATATTTACCTAAAATATAAAGTTAAGTTCACTCACCTTACAATTTCCGATTTAGATGCAGCTCATTTTAAAATACGGTACTTAATAAACAAAAAAAACTTTTTACGAAATAAAAATACCCGTTCACCTGATACAATCAAACTTCATGTAACATTACACATAATTTTAAAGTGTTCACAGTACACTGTACACAATTCACTTTAATTACACAATGTATACTTTAGACAATTTACAATAATTTTGCGAGTTTAAGTGTCTGGATGTTAGTAAAACAGCGGTCAGGTTGGCACTAATCATATTTTGATAAATTTTAATACGCTATTTACAGCTACCCTCATTATTACAATTTAATATATTACTACTGAAATATTTTAACAAAAGTAGCAGCTAATATTAACTTATTAAAAAAAACAAAGACCTTTTAAATATCTAAAGCAATTTTAAAGTTCATTCGACGCCGATGTAATAACATTTTAAAATTAAAAATATGCTCGATTCTTTAAAAATCATTAAAGAAAGTACCAAAAAATAATTGCTTGTCTGATTTCCATATCTCAGTTAAGGGAACCGACCTAAGTAATCAGCTGGACGAGATATTCGCGAGGTTAATGAATTATTTATTTTCAACTTATATGACAGTTAATGTACACATATTCACACCTTGTGAAAAACCCAATGTCAACCGTGGTCAGTAATTAAATGTTTGCTTAGAATTACTCGTTTTATTTCTTGACAAACAATTTATTGAACAATTCACATACATATCACTGAATCACATGAATCACTTATATACGTATGGCAAAAAACATATAAATATCAAATATTTCTTAACTCTAGCACACAAAAAGCAGTTTAGTTATCTATTTACATTAGTACCTTAGTGTACTTTTAAATATAAGAAATATTAACTAAAGGACTATTTCGAACCACAAAATTTACTCTTAGTGCAGAAAAAAGGAAATATTAATTCTTTCAACTGTAACATAGTGGCAACAATTAATTCAAGCCTTGGACAGATAAAATACAGTCTCATGTAATTCGCAGGACTTTCGCACAGTTTAAGAACCTTTAAGAACCTCTTTAACTTTAACTAAGCAATCTATATTCCAGACGTGACTTTTGACTTGTTTGAGCTCATCATAATAAACATTTTAAAGTGCAAAACAACTATTTTTCCTTTCAATAGTATAATTTGTTATTAAAGATTGAAAAAGGCAAGCCGCCGCAATGGAAAAATATTACATCTGCAATCACCGTTCAAGTAAACAATATCTACGATGAGTCGTATTTTCTTGTTTAATTATAATTAGCATAAATGTTAGTGACTCATTTATTCAACAAAATACTTCGCAATTCACAAACCCACAAAACAAATAAATATTTTTTTTATCTATATGTAAATCAAAATGTCGACCAAATCAGAGCGGCTGTAGATGTACCCTACACCAATATACTAAAAAGGCAGGGCCCAGGGAGGAGCGGCGCCTGGTAAAGCGGGTCACTGATACTTGATGACCACGACCAGTCTGAAAAGACTGTAACGACGAAGATGAAAAAGTAGAAATAAAAATGTATTAAAGAAATACACATTTAGTACAACATTAGATTTGATATTTTTCTGTTTACTTTTTCTCGCTTGCAAAGTAAGAACAGATACTAATATTTTGCCATGTCATTCTAACATGTGAAATATAAAACATATCCACATAAGCATTTATGGAAAATCCTATAACTTTGGGAAGTCCCCGGTCTATCTAATCTAACAACCTTCGAGACATCTTCATTGGCGATGAATCAATGTTTGTGTAATGACACAACATAGAGGTATGGTCATTAGTACATGTTTTTCAATGACACTACAAGAGGAATATGACCTATCATCACTGTCATAAATAACGTTTGCACCAAGACAAATACCAAACAGAACTATGCTATTAAATTAGAAATTTTATCTTTAATTTAAATTATTATAAAAAAAATCATTGTACCTTAAAAATAATAAGACATTGTTTTCAATCATAATGTAAGCAATTCATTTATTTACTACTGGAATACAATAAAAATAAGTAAATTCTGCCAAGACCTTGACCTTTATGAACGGTTCAAAAAAGCTTTCTTCGTCCTTGACAAGACGGCCCTTCACTTTTACAACCTTCAAACTGTTGTCCGACCTTGAAGTTACATCATAAAGCGATGTTTAGGAGAAAGCCTTCCCCTTACTCCTTCTAATATTGTTCTGACTATCGACTTATCAACAGTTTACTTTAATATTATAAAGGTTCTAGTGAAGTGTAGTAACAGTGTGGAAAATATTAATTATGTTTGTAAGTTATTAACTTTATAATAGTTGTGTCGTGAATTTTATTCTTAAAAGTCGAACGCGTTCAAAATAATTGGAGAAATTTCATTTGTTTTTCTAACACCGCGAGTTTTAGCATTAAATTGCCAATTGGGTAAAAATTAAATAGACTGATATAATAAATGATTTTTGTACTGCTAAGACATCAAACCCAGAAATCGAGTAACTAAACTCTTGCGTGATTTATGGTAATAAAAGTGTTATTTTTAATATTTAAAAACAAAAATTCAGTAGTGACTTTCTCATTAACTCGTTGATGTCTTTTCGTTACAAATAGTGTGATATTTTTTTAACAATTTCAGGATTAAAATAAATTCACAAATTTATAAATTAATTACGATACATTTAATATAAATAATCTTTTTTTTTAAATATATTTGAAATAAGCAAAATTAATTACTACAGGTGCTATCTATTAACCTTTACAATATTACCTTGGTGTACCATTAATCTACGATTGAACTTGCACCTTATTAAAATAAATATTTTTTTTAAATAACGGGAAACCTAATGGATCAAATCTACCGTCAACAAATATCTATAAACATTTACAAGCACAAGCATATATGTAATATATTAAAAAAAATTACTTTCATAAATTGTAAATATTTTCAAAATAAGAGAAAGTTTTCAATTCCTATATATTTTATTTTCATATATTATCACTTTGTTTCAGTTTCTACTATCATGGTACGTATGTGTAATTTGTATGACTGAATGCGCTGTATTAGACCCAGCTTTGTACCTTCAACCCAGTCCACCAATAAGGCAAGCAGACGAATATTTGTGGTCTCAATCAATGCAATCAAATGTTGAAGCTATCCCAATCAACGTATTAGGTAAATAATTAAATGTTTTGTATTTAAAACAGCATAATGCTAATTTTAATTTCATTTCATTTCAGTAATAAAACAATTTTAATAAAATGTCTACAGTGAACATGACTACAACTTAAATATTATTTTTGTATTATAATAAATGAAAAAAAACTAAAAATTATTTTGATGCTTTTTCGACTAACGCTTTAATTTCCAATTCAGTCCTTAGGCTTTTTGTCATGGTGTGAATAGTTATATCTTTTAACATGGGTTTCTGAGCCCAAAATCCCCGTTTAAAATATTGTTACCTCAGGTTTTTTTTATAATGACAGGGATAACGGTATGTTTTATATACAGATTTTGGTCTCAGAAACCAACGGTTACTGATTATTCAACTAGTTTTAATAACAATTTACATTTGCAGCATCTATAGACGGAGAAGATAGTATGCCCAAAGCGAGGACATTTTGGCCAAAGTTACGCACTGACTATAAATTGGGTAGTATTCATATTCCCCTAACATTTAGTGTAAGTGGTACTTACGGGAACTTTGGTGACGGTGGTAGTGCAGTTGGTTCAAGCTATGCGAGTATATCTGAACTGGGAAGCGCCAAAGTAAGCAAACCAACACTGGCCGGTTCAGGATACGACAATTACAATTCCAGTCCAACTGTAGTACGAATATATGGAAGTAGTAACAAACCAGTCTGGAGCGGTTGGGGTAATGGAAAATGGGGACATTACGGCAAAGGATAAATCTGATAATTGTGTATCAAAATAGCAAAGTATAAATTTTATTGATGATTAATTATCTATTAAAACATTTTTGGGCACATATCGTATTTTTTTATTTCCTATTTTATTTAAAATTCATATAAGTACTATTGTTAATGCGGTAAATATATAAAATCTGTAAAAAATCTGTTGTTGTCTCTCATAACCAATTTAGAAAATGTAATCTTACATATTAAATGTAGCCTTAATAATTGAGCTATTTTTACCGACTACAAAATCTTATCTTACCTATCTTACTCTTACTAAAAATATAAATGCGAATGTTTATATGGATGCATGGATGAATGAATGTTAGTTTGAATCTTTGGAACGGCTGAACGGATCTCGCTGAAATTTGGCATAGATGTAGAACATAATCTGGAAGAACACATAGTCTACTTATTAATTTTTTTTATCAATACAGCGCGGACAGAGTCGCAGGCTACAGCTAGTATTTTATAAATTTGTAATTAAATATTGAATTATATTATATGATAAATTTATAATTAAATATTATAATTAAATATTATAATTATACTTTTAAGGTCATTGCAATAAAGTCGATCAAATGCGATTAATAATTGCGTGACATCATAATATGACAGGTGATGCTGATGAGCATCCACTAGTAATATTACTTATAACACGTACAATTTAAATTACATTATCCTTATGAAAACAACAATTAAATTATAAATCAAGGTTGATAAATAACCATGGAACCAACACATCATGACAGTCAACACCCTTAGAACTAAGCAATTATATGGTCACTACACCTTATCATCATGTAAATTGTTTACAAAAGGTCGTCCACTTTAATAAATCGTTTTGCTTTCCGCCTCTTTTATTAAACATTCTCATACTAAGAAATAATCTTCCATAATTGTTAGGTATCTAACTCAGGTATTTACCTAATACTTAATAATCAAAGGTACATATAAACTTTGTAATTCAAATTGTAAGACTAACTTAGTATATGTTTATCTACCATTTGAAGTAAAATATAAAAATACCTGCTGCAGCTATCGTGTGGCATATCCCTTAGAATGGTATATTCAAACTGAGGACAAAATTATCAGTAATTACTGTGAACATGACAGAGATTCAAAAAAAGAATCAGAGCTGAACAGGATGTACGGCCAGTACTGTCACTCAAATGTCGTACATACTGATCTCATTTCCTGTCCACAATCATTTATATTCACTACAATACACTTACCTTACATAATACGCGACCATGCTTTGTATAGTAATTTTCGTATTACTACCAACTTTAGTTATATGTTCCAGTGAAGGGAACATTCATCTACTTGAACAAGAAATTGGTGAAGCGATAAAGGCTTGCATAGACAATGTAAGCGAAGAAAGTTCTACTAAACGCTACACCCGATCCAATAGGAACACATCAAATAACTACCAATATCATCAAATCGAAAATAATAAAAATTCTAATCCATACAACCATGAGAGACGTAACACAAGTGATATGATGACACCGAACAATGTAAGCACTATAACAGACAACGATTTGTTGGCATACGACGACCAATATGGAAACGAAAACTTCAATAACACCGGCAGAAATAATTATGGTAATTTTTACGGCAATAATAATAATACTTTTAAAAGAAGAAATAAAAGAAATGATCACTATTTGAACAATAATGAAGACGATCAGGTAAGCCGTGATAAATTTTCGAATACAGTATACATTAAAAGTGTTGTTACTGTGTGATTTACCGTGGGATTCTGTGACCAAAATCGCATAAACATATTGATATCTCTGTTTTACCAAAGATAATGACTGGGATGACAATATGTTTAATACAGAGAGTTCGATGTCAGGGACCAACGGTTAAACGCCTGTTTAAAAGGTATCGGCAAAAGTGCCTCCCTTGAAATACATAATATGTAAAGATTCCCGTTTTAGTAAAACTGTGTTCCCATAGATGTATGCTCAATTTTAAATTGATTGATAATAAATTATGCTTTGATATATTGTTCAGTCTTTTTAATTACATTTATTATTGCTTTTGAAGGCGTAATTTTATTTTTGTAATATTATGTAACAGGCAGGTAAAAATATAATAATAAAATCTGTTAACGTGTTTAACGCACAATAAATGTATTAACATTGTTTTTTCCAGTGCCTCAGTCATTGTGTGTTTGCTAATTTACATGTGGTAAGTTCTCATCAAGTATCAATAAACAATAGAGGACGCAAGCCCTCCGTAAAATATATAAATATAATATATTTTTTATTCATATAAAATTTTTATATGTTACTACTTACTAACTATTGTTAATATTTCAACTCAGGTTGATTCTCGAGGTATTCCTCGTGAGACAGAACTTTGGAATAAGATTCAAGCCGACGTGAAGTCACAGCAATCGCGCGTCCTTCTGCAGAACCAAATAAGATCGTGCTTTCAAGAACTACAAAATGGTAAATATAGCTTTCACCCTTTTAAAGCAGCAGTTATTTTAGCAACATATGGATTACGTTTGTCGTAATACTAGCGGTCGCCCGCAGGATTTAAGAAGTAGCCTTAACATGCACGTACATCAGCTAACTTCATGTAGAAACCGTCAAAATCGACCCAGCCGTTCCGGAGATTACCCGAAACAAAAGGCGGCCTTACAGTCATACATAGCGCTTATTAATAGCAAAACTATAATATACGTCGAATTAATCTCAGTTTTTTGTAATTCCAGAATCTGAAGGCAATGGATGTTCTTATTCGAATAATTTAGAGCGTTGCTTGATGCTACATTTGTCTGATCGAATGAAAGGAACTAAAAGCAAGAAACAATCTTAACAAATAGCTATACAGAATAATAAAAAAAAAACACGGACAAAAACAGCAAAATTATCTAATTATAATAAATGACATCCGTATATAACGTATGTAAATAAAGATTTGTTGGACTTTTTAATTTTTGCCCTTGCAGTATATTAATATTCCAAATTATTACACATCCAAGAAAATATAACTTTGTTACAAAACTCCGTCCATGACTTAGCAACTAAACTGATTATTATATTTCACATACGTCATCATAAGGCAAATAGTGATATTTATATGACAATAAAGCCTTAAACTTTATAAGTACAGGACGACTGGATATCCAGGATATGAGAACGGTTGAGGATGAAACACAATAGGCTCGTCTAGACTTCTATTTTCCAGTTCGTGTGGTAATATTTGTCTTGGTAAGTGTATTGTAAGTGAGCTCTGAAATAAGTTAAAAAACATGAAAACAAAATCTATACTTTCAAATCATAATGGAATATTTGTTCGCGGATTTCTTGATTATATCAAAATCTCAATATTAATATTACTAATGCTTTAAATATTTTTACTACTCGAATGCAATGAGACTCAACTACGATGACGTCATAATGCTGTATTATTAGGCTTTGTGCACAGATCACAAAAATTTTGCATCATCAGGCTGTTTCCATCTGCTGGGTTAGACTTTCCCCAATGTCTTCCAGTTTGCGGTCCTTCGCACATCGCAAGCAGTGACTCCCTGACATCTGGCGCCTCCATTCATTTTCAAAATTTTACACACACCAACACGATGAACCTTTATCACTCTAGTAAATGCTAACAAAGACAGGTAAAAAGTGAGGAAAGCCTGTGCTGTTTTTGTACAGATGAAAACTGCATTTTACAATTTATGCCATAAAAAATACCATGTCAACATGATACTTACATGTAAAAATATATTTATAAAATAAAATGAAAGAACAAGTTTAAAATTACAATTGCATGCAATATAGTTCAATACTCTGTGAAATTGCATTTTGTGACAGAAATATCCAAAGAAACAAATTTTACACAAAACACATTTATTGCCCAGCATTTTATGACACAATCATAATAAATAAAATGAATATAACCATGAAATTCCAATGCCGTGACAATTGTACTGGCACATATTGTTGTCTCTTTTTAATGAAAATAAATGAAAGAGATGACAATATGTAATACAAATATCAAGCATTTGAAACTCAGTTACAAACACAAAGTAGCTCACTCAATGTACAGCAGGTGCAAGAATAGAAAGGGTTAAAGTATTTAATGGTAATGGTGGCCGATTTGTACACACTCTGGGCTGAGCTTGGATATGCTTTGACCACCTGCAGACATTCATAAACAATTCTTGTTCTAAAACATTTAGACGCTCCTGAAATGAAAAGGAAATTTCTTATTTATATATTTAATAATTATGATGAATATGTTTGTGTTTTTTTATAATTCAATTTGAAGCCAGAAATTTTAGCCATGTATACTATGACTAATTAATTATTTAGGTTTCCAAGAGCATTAATTGTAATAAAAATAAGTAATGTAATTATTTTTAATGTAAACACGATATAAATAGTATTTAAAATCATGCTATCTTATTCCCCCTGAATATTTCAAACTATCTATCATTGGTAATTTATTTATATACTTAAAATTGAATAAATATAACATCTATTTAACTTACAATCAAAGGATACAGGGCATGATAAGCAGCGATGTCTGCCACTGTCAGAGCTTGTCCAGTTAAATATGTATTTTTAGCTAAAGCTTTATTAATTCCCTGAAAATAATACAGAAGGTTGGTGAAAATACACTTTAGCAAATGAAAATAACAATCTACAATAGCATTTATCTAATACACTAAGATATTACAGCAGAGTAAATTGAAACATTCTTATTAAGTATAGTTATTAGATAAAACTCGCCTGTTTTTGTAATACATTATTTTAAAAGTATATTTTGTTATACCTGTAAAAAGTTTTTAGCAAATGTAGGATTGGCAAGAGCTTGGTTGCCATACATTGCTATGTGTTCCAGCCATTGATAACTAAGAAGTATTTGCTCTTGACTCATTGGAGTGCCACTTTTTGCAGCCAGTCTTAAAACAATACTTGCAAAACCTTCTACATTTTCTTTATCAAGAACTGTTGTCAACACCTGTTGAAAAAGTTAGCTTGTATTTTGTATGTATAAAATTAAATAAAAGTATTGTATTGTGGAAGTAATAAGGTAAATAAAAAAAGTGTAGTTACATGAAAAAAAAATGATTACTCTCACTTAACATTTCATTCTTTTCTTCAAGCATACAATTCCTTTCACAACTGATAAGGCTCAAATACGATAAAACTTTTGCTGGTGGACCATTTAGAAATATCTTTAACAATCTTATTCAAAAAAATTCCCTAAAGTTATTAATCGCAACAAAATTAAAGAATGTTTTGCTACACACTTTGTCTGTATTATAACATACAGTTCCAACGGGAGTGTTCAGATACTTTCCAACCGATTTTATTACATCCATTCTTTATATTCTTGGCTTAGCTAGTTGGTTATAGTTTTTCGCTTAAACTTTTAAATGTTTGAAGATCGAGACCGATCCGAACGGAAACCTGAAACATAACCTATTAAACTCTTGCAGTCAACATGTCAATGTCATTGTAATCGTGTCAAAAACTTTTTTTTAATTTTATGACCTGGTAACATAGACCTTTAGTTCATGTGTCAAAAACTAATCATTTGGCATCAAGAAATAAAATTTAAAATGTCTGTGTGGGATACATGTCTTCAAAACATAAATTAAGAGTTAAATTTTGAAAACTGCATTTACCGAGAATTTATAACATAAAATGACGAAAATTTTATCATATCCTTTGGGTATATCATAACAATAATCGATTTGTAGATAACCCACTATTTGACAATGACATGACAACAGTGATTGAAACAGGACATCACAAAGAGTAACTTCAATTCAATTCTTTGCATTGTAATATTTATCTGTCAACTGTGTGTTTGAATGGAAAATAAGATATTTAATTTGCATAAACAAAGTAATTAAGTGATATAGAGCGAGCAACCAAAGTTAAAAGAAGTAGTAATAGTACTGTTTTTACGACATTACTAAATTAACCATTCAAGTGGTGTTGTTCTTTCATCTACAAATGTATTATCACAATATTGTTTTTTATTCAAATTTAAGTTTTCTTCGAATCGTTTCTTAAAATAATGAAACCATACAGCACGTGACGCCAAAATTCTGTTCTTTTTTCACTAAACAACATTAAAACTCTTCTTAAATGTTAACTTTATGTCACAACTATTTTCTAGTAACTCCTAATTCTAAGAACAATAAAGATGTTGTCCAGCATCAAAGTAAAAAGAAGTTTGTGTTTGGTGTTTTTATTTTATTCTTAGTTTCTGTTTTGTGGGTGGTGTCATCAGAATTTACAAAGGTATTCATGATACAATCAAACATTTGTAATAGTTCTTATATTCATGAGTTATAATCAATAACTTTTGTTGCAGTATTTGTACATTGAGAAGAAACTTGAAAGGCCTTTTCTTGTGACATATGTACGCAGTTCACTATTGTTTATATATTTGATTGTGCTTTGCTTCTCACCGCCTACAAGAGACCCATGCCGACCAGCTGACTATACGGTAATTATATCATTCACATAGTTTTTTTTCTTGAGTTACAAAAAGGTTATTTGTGTGTATGTAATAATGAATGTGAGTTTGTATGTATGTAGTTGTGAGTAAGATGTTATTGGTCAGTCAATTTATTGTTTTTTCAGTAATAATATACCATAGGCCTATGAAACCCAATTTTGTTGTATTTATATTGATAAATATTACATAGGATAACATAGAATTTGTTTGCAGCAACTATTGGAGCCTACAGCCGAAACAGATGATGAAAATTATTACAATGAAGCAACTAGTAGTTTGGTGAGTATAACATTAAAATAATAAATAATAAGAATTATTACTTAAAATGTTATTTCTTTTCCATTAATGACAAGTTTTGTTCTATGACACTTGGTTTGATTTGATTATTCAGGGAGACTCCACCTTTGTGCCAGTCCGGGCAGGTGAAACTACGGATAGTGATGATGCGGCCCCCAGAGCGGTTCGATTCAATAAAGTTGCAGAGGTAATTCTTATATGCAATATTAAAATTCTAGCATCAAAGTTTCCATACAATTGTTTGAGTTCCTCCTTGAGGGATTGTTTACATTTTCTTACTACTAAACAAAAATCAAGGTCTGAGCATCCTTTTTTATATTCAAATATTTTTATAAAGATGCATAAAAACTTTAAAATGGACACAAAAAGGTTGATGAACATCCATTCATGATAAGTTTTAAAGTGAATTTAATAAATCGCAGCTGAACGGTTCAAGTATATGTGATTTAAACTTTTGAACAGATTCAGAGCTGATTTACACACATCTAAGTGGTAATGTGGTGTCATGTTTAGGTGCGCGTGATGTCTGCAGCGATGGCAGGCGAGGCGCTGCTGGCGAGATTGTCGTGGTCTGCTTCGCTGCGGGCCTCCGAGCATGCGCAGCGCCGCGCAGCCGCTGCTGCTACTAAGCGACATTTACGGCTAGCAGTGCTGTTCTCTGTACCCGTTAGTATCTTACTCCGCTACATAAATGCGTGTGACAATATTTTTCTAAAGGAATTTTATAATCTTATATACCAAGCGTTAGACCTTTCGGGTTTTGAATTATTATCTTATTTCTATTTATATTGTTGTGACAAAAAAGATACAGATGATTGGTGAAAAGCAATTCCGCTTTTCCCCTGATAAGTGTGTGTGCTGGAGTTGTCCTAAAATGGGACGCATAAGAAAGGGAAGTGTTATCTTTCTGTGCTTTGCCTTAGTTGATTAAAGGTAGACAAGAAATGAACATATTCAGATGTTTATGGGCAGCTTTTCGCTATTTTGGAGAATTTAGGTGATGGATTGCTCGTTTGCTACCTTATATCATAAAAAATAACAAATAAAATAAAATAAAACTTCTTTATTGCCAGCACACAAATACATCAAATCACACAGTAATTACAAATATATATATATATATATATATATATATATATATGACGACAATGGCCTGCAGGCTCAGCGTGTACCGCATGGCATGGCCATGCGGAGCTGGTTTTCAGCCTGTCCCGGTAGGCCACGTTTTGGTCGTTCAGAGGTGCATGTGTATTATGAGGTTTCTTGAAAACAAATTGGAATATTCCGCTGGCGCCCGGAAATTGGAAAAGTATCAGTGAACATATAGTTTTCCTTGTAATATGTATAGAACTTTGCATTTGTTTGCATTGCAGTGGTTCATATCGAACTATTTGTACCGAGTGAGTCTACTACACACGTCCGCGAGCTCTGCCATCACGTACACGTCGACAGCGAGTGGGTTCGCGCTGTCATTCGGTGCGGTGTTCGCGCAAGTGCCCACAGACAGGTTCAACGTGTCCAAGTCTATTGCAGTACTTTGTACTGCAGCGGGACTTGTAAGTATTTATATTTACATTCAAATATCAACTTACTAATAATAATAATCCTAGTCTACAGTGGTTAGTCTATAGTTCTTTTCAAATATCTTGGCGGCTCAAGCTAATTGGAGAACTCTATGAAGAGGTCACTTTGGAAAAAACGATTTAGATTATTAGATGTCATAATAGTATGGACATATGTACATTAGGAGTGATAAACAGTTTTGTCAATGCTATTTTTATATAATTTAGGTGGTGTTAGGGTTGTCGGAGAGCCGGACAGGGAACTGGACGGGCGTGCTGGCCGCGCTGGGCGCCTCGCTCTGCTACGCAGTGCATCTCCTCCTCTTCCGACACGAGCTGAGGAAAGGAGACGGCATCAACTCTGTACTACTCATTGGTAACAACGCCATTTTTATCTTCATAACTGATGATTCGCTTTAAAATAGAATTGGTAACGTCAATATTTAGAATTCATCTATATTGTCTATCAAATTACAATGATTTTTTTCAAATGAACAAACATGAGACAAGAAACATGAATCACTTTGCGTGTTATTTTAGTTTTGATGAAGTAAATTAATTGTTAGGCAAAGTTAAGTAACACCCAGACAGTTAAATATACTGCTATATCTTTTCCCTAAAGAGGGTCTTCATAGACTGATCTTCCATACATCTCTATCGGCTGTCATGTCTGAATTCATTCCCTTATGCATGTCTTCACACAATCCATCCATATGGAGAGCATATGCTCTTATGTCTTCCTCTACATTAACTCTGTGAAACTTTATAATATACATAAGCTATGTATTAAAATATCAGGGGTGGTTGGGAGCGCTTGCGGCTGCCTCGCGTGGGCGATGGGTGGAGTGCTGGTGGCCACCGGTCTCGAGACCGCAGATCTGCCCACACCAAACCTCTGGACGTGGCTGTTATTGGACGCGGTTCTGGGACCTCTGCTACTAGACTCACTCTGGATTTGGTAAGCTAATTCTTTAGCTAACTGATAAGTCGCGGAAAACCGCTAGTATTTGCTAAAGTTGAAAGTAGAAGAAGTGAAAAGTGGCATGAATATATTAGAAAGGAATATGATGAACAGGGGCAGATCTCTGACGTCAAATAAGATGGCGAGCGGCATGCTGGCGCTGAGCGTGCCGCTGGGAGCGTGCGTGGAGGCGTGGCGCGGGGCGGCGGGCGGGGCGGGGGGCGCGGCGTGCCGGCTCGCGGCCGCGCTGCTGGCGGCGGCGGGCTGGGCCGCACTCGACCTGCCCCATCTGCCCGCTCTGCCGCACCTCGCTACAAGACTCCGCCCTACAGATGCATTCTCGTAAGTATACAGTTTCAGACTCCAGAATATATTATATTTTGCACGAATGCTCCCCGCCCAGTGCGATACCACGACCACACGGAAGGCTCGTCTAAAGTTGAAGTAAATATGCGAACAGTTTGAAAAGTTTGCATTCCGGAGGCCTTATTTTGTTTCCTTTCCCTTCCCACCCTTTTCTTATAAGGAGATGGATTTGACGGTTGAAAGGTCGCACAGGAAGGGGAAATATTCTCATTCTGTGCGTCCCCTCCTCCCTCGATTAAAGGTAGCCAACATAGGAATCTTTAGTTATAATATTTGCACCATTCCGTGTGTAGGAGTATAAGAAACATAGCGGAGCTTGATGAACAGTCAGAAGCACTGATGTCTTCGGAGGAGCCGACGTAACGTTCTGCGGTACTGAATGTTTGTCACAAGCATGTTTAACGCAACACAACTATTTCGTTATTCCTATACATGTCACGATGTAACATGCCCGTTTTAATAATTTTATTTTACACAGAGTAAAAATTAAACCCCAGTCTATGGTAGTATTAACTAGTAACGCAGTCGACACAGCTGATCCTTTCAGCCGGATATTAAAAAAAAAATTATTTTTGCGAACATAGCGCGAATTAAAGAAGCAATTTACTTAACTGTCAAAATTAAAAATTTCATATTAGATTCAAGAATGTGGTTTTTCAGTTTTTTAAATAAAATTCATTTGTAACAATATTAAAACTGGCCTGTTATTTCGTGACCACTCTAGTCTAATACAAAATCTAGCATTTACGTAAACAATAAAATAAGAGAAAATGGCGCCCTATCTGTGAATATTCTACACGAGATTTATTTTGCTTGGCACAATCTTAGTTTAGTGAATACATCCAGATAGGTAACCAATTGTTAACCATTAACGTAAAAATAATCATTCCAATACATTTTATTCTTTATATCTTTATTTTACGTATATTGTTTAATATTTTGTTATATTTTATTTGAAAAAATCTTTATTCATACTGTAAACACACGAATTATATATTTTTATATCATAAGTACCTAATGGTGAATCCAAAATATTTTATTAAAATATTACCTAAATTTACTTAACATCAATGTCTCGTCTTATACTTTCGAAAGTTTAACGATATTTAGACAAAACAAAAAGCATTTTTAACTGCCGACTTATCAAAATGTCAATCCAAACAAATAACATTCATTACTATTCATTTAAAATATATAAAAACTATTTTATTTTATTTCTTGACAATTTATTTTTTAGGACAATCATTGTTCTCTGTGCCTTTCCCATTTATAAATCAATTAGAAATTAATTAGAGTTAATAGTACAAACATGTTTACTCTGGTATATGTGATCTAGGAGAAACTTTCTGACTTGTATAAAACTCCATGTTAACTTAATTGCGACAAAAATAAATAAAAACATTTTTTGACCAAAAAAAATGTTCATAACCATTGTATATTAAGAATTAAACTACCTTTTACAAATATCTGTAATGAACAAAAAAGGCATGTTGTTAAAAACTGCTTTTAAAATTATTTCTATGACTAGAAAATTGTATATAAACTATGAGAATACTCTTTAGTATAATCAAATTAATCTTTTATTTACGCCACTTCATTAAAACATGATTGTAACTCATTTTGTATGAGATTTTATGTATTTTCACGATTTCTTAGGCATAATTAAGTTCAGATTAAAAGAGAAATGTTGCTAAAATTGTCTTGGATAAGTTTGTCCATTGTATTACTTTCAATACAATTATTTATTTAAAAAAATAACTACATAAGATCTCATTCGATAATATAGAATACACTGTCTGTTTAGTTCTTAGCTTCGTATGAAAACACTGTTAATATCAGTATTGTATAAAAAATATTTTATTATCATTGAGAACATCAAACAATTCGCAATAGATTTTGTATTCTAATTCATTCTTTATTCTAAATAATAATTTAAAACAAATAAAAAGCATTATAGTAAGAATGTTGTTTTTTATTTATCTACCTTCTCTTTCATATTAACCATAAGGGATCGTTAATCTTTCAAGCGTTAATACCTACTTATGTTCAAGCTTTGTAAATATTTTGTTAAAATAGATTTTTTCTAATTCTCAGTAACAAGCAGTCTCGCTAAGATTTAGATGGTGTTATTTCAGTTATTTTTTTTAAGAAACAGGTCTGTAACAAAGAGTCTACTTATAAAAGTTTACATCAAAAATGGACAATTATCGCAATCTGTGCCTTTACTATAGTCTATATACTTCTTCTTTTTACTCTTTGATCTTCTCTCACTTATTAAGTCTATGGTATAACCTAGACATTTTCATGAATGTAAAATAAATACAATTTCGTTGAAAATTATATTTTTAATGATGCGAAAATGTCTCATGTAATCAAGACAAGTTTTAAACAGATTACACCTATAACGAGGTATTTTTATAATTGTGTAAAAAATCCCAATTTGCAAAATATTCGATTTTACAGCAATAAAGTTACTACTACTCAAGATGATATTTATAATAATTTTACTGACTGGGAGACACTAAATAAAAAGAAGAAAATTAGTAAGCCCATGAGAGCATACCTAGAGAGAGCTAAGGAACATGACGAATTCATGAAAAAACAGCAGTTTGAATACAACATTGGGAAAAGACACTTAGCAAACATGATGGGCGAAGACCCTGAAACTTTTACCCAAAAAGATGTCGATCGAGCTATCGAGTACTTGTTCCCTAGTGGTATTTACGATCCAGCTGCTCGACCTTTGATGAAACCGCCCGAAGAAGTATTTCCGGCCCGAAAAGCTGCGGAATTCGATGAAGCAGGTAGACCACATCACTACTTGTTTTACACTGGCAAACCTAATTTCTTTAAACTCCTCTATGACGCTGCGGAAAATATTCAACTCTTACAACAATTTGAAGATAAAGTTATAAGAAAAAAAGCAACTCCAGATCCAAATGGAAAGTTAGATTTAAATGCTACCTTTTGGTTAACCAAAGATCAACTAGAGCAGCTTTTAGTTGAAAAACTTACTGATCTGGAATATGATAATTTCAAGTTGGTAATGGAGAGACTAGTATCGCTTCCATATTCATACAGATGTAAAGATTTCATTGAAAAATTCAGAAAATCATTAACATCACAAAAATTTGCTTTAGAGATTCCTAAACCAAGTTATGATGATCAAGGCCGGGCATTTGTTACAACTTATGAGTGCTTAAGAAAAAAAGCTAGAGGCGATGTTACGATTCGTTCACCAGGGACTGGTTTAATAACCATAAATGGAAAAGATTTGACATACTTTGAAGACACTCAGTCAAGGGAACAAGTTATATTTCCATTGATATTTACGGGATTAGAGAACAAAGTTGATGTTGAGTGCAATATAGAGGGTGGGGGACCTTCAGGACAAGCAGGTGCAATCAGATGGGGGATTGCTTGGGGACTCCGCAGTTTTGTAGACAAAGATATGTTACAGGCAATGCAAGTGGCAGGTTTGCTAACTAGGGATCATCGCAGGAGAGAACGTAAGAAGCCTGGTCAACCTGGTGCTAGAAAGAAGCCAACTTGGAAGAGAAGATAATCTTTTAAACATTTTTTGTAGTATGATAACACCTAAGAGGGCTATTTCTATAATTACCAATATGTTTAGTTGAAGCTTAAAAATTAAATAATAAATAAACATTACTAGAGGTGGAAATTTATTTTGATTAATTTATCTTCTTTTCCTAATATTATTTTTCATAGACTTCTGCCTGCCACCAATTTTCTTTTTAAACATTTGGTTCTTTCTTTCTTTATTGTATATTCTTTTCTTCATAACAGTTTTAAGACCTCTTCTCTCTTTTTTCCCTTCACTTTCTTCACACTTGCTGAAGAAGAGTAATCCTTCCGAAAATATACAATTTACAATTAGTTTTCATAGATAAGAATTGATGTCTTATATTTGTAAAACATATACAAATCTACTACCTCTGAGTCTACTATCATCTTTAGAGAAGAATAAATTTTCTCTCCAAACTGCTTTAACCTCCTGCTTTTCTTCTGGAAGTTGAACCTCTTTTTCTTTTTCTTTTCCCTCATCTTCAGAATCAGAAGAGTCATACACAAATGGATTTCTTTCACCAATATCAAGGGGGTTTCTGGATTTCTTCTCTTTTTCTTTTGGCAAAGGTATATAATCTGCACTTTCTTCAACAACTTCTAGAAAAATATTTAAAAAAAATTGTATTTTTAAACCCTTACAAAATGTAAAAATCAATGACTTTCTTACCTTTATCATTATTTTCATTTTTACCAAATAAATCACGTAAACTAAATGTCGTAGGTTGAACCAGTGCTTCTTTTAATGTATCACTGACTGAATAAAATTGTTCTTTAGAGACTTCAACATTTTCTACAATTACAGGTGGCGGGGGTTCTATTGGAGTTTCCTTGGATTTCTTTGAGTTCTTTGCCTTTTTTGGTATTTCTTGTGTGGCAGCTGGTGGCGCTAAGAATTTAGCATGTTCTGGATGCATTGGATCATACCTCAGCATACCAAGCTTAGGTCTGAAATGTTAGTATTTGGTTAACTAAACGTAATTTAATCCATACAACTATATTATTAAGGTAAAACTTAATATGATACAGGTTAAAACAACATCATTTAGAGTAACCAAAAAACGAGATGTCAACTGAAGACTACAAAATTGCTTCATAGGCAAAAAATCTGTTTTAATGATTGAATAATTTCTTTGAAGTCGTAATAATCTTGACCAAAGCTACTTACTTTGTTTTCTGGACATATTCAGAATTGTGAGTTTTAATAGTAACACCAAGTACATCTTGTAAAATGTTCAGTTGTTTTGATTTCTCATCAACTTGTCCAACATCAACTCTGTCATCATCCACTGTATCTTTTTCTTCATTCTTTTCATCATCAGATTGATCATCAATAAACCTTTCATCTAATGTAAAACGTTTGTCAGATTTAAACCTAGATTGTAAATCTAAAACCTGTAAGGCAATAAACATTTAAAAAATGAGCACCACACAATGTTCCTTAATTTTTTTCCTATACTTGATAGGTAAGTCAGTTGGCATTGCATTTGTTAACTTTTACCTTTTGTCCTTTTTTCCCTTCAAATTGTTTTTTTATTTCAAATGTAACTTCTGTATCACTATCTTCATCATCAAATAACACATTCTTTCTATTCTTGGGTTGGTCATTAATATTCTCTTGATTAGTTGAACCATTGTTATGTAAGTTGGTTTCTCCCGCATCATCAGAAAATATTACTTTTTTATTGGGCACTTTATCCTGTAAATCAATTAATAATAATATAAATATTTATTTTCATTGTATTATTGTTTGATAACAAATATTCTCAATTTTGCTATAAATGCCACAATACTTACAATTCCTACCAATCCTGTCTTAATAATATTTTTTTTCTCTTTAAACTCTTGCCTTTTCCTTTTTAATGATTCTAACCTTTTCTGATCTGAACTTAATTTCTTTTCATTTCCAGAATTATAATTAATATTGTTTGACTGAAAATCAGTATTTATGTTTTTCTTGAATGATTTTGGGTTGTTATTCAAATGGTTATCTTTTGTCCAGGTTTCATCAATTTTCCTTTTTGGAGGATTCAGTTTGGTACTTAAGTTAATTGTAGGAATCTCTTTGACTATGTGGCTTACATTCTCTTTCTAAAAATAATATTTAAGATTAACATACTTGAAACAATATATCCTTAGTAACCGATTCAGTAAGTAGAATTTATCTTCATTTTAAAACTGGTGGGATACATAAAAAAACAAATATTGCAAGTAAGCTTTTGAATTATTCAATTCATATACATAAAACTTACCTTTTCTTCATCTTTTTTACTAGCTTGTTCTCTCTCTCGCTGAAGTCTTTCTAAGAAACTTTCCCTTGCTCGGGTTACATACAACCTTTGTCCATTAAAATCTACATCTCCTATTTTCCTTATACCTTAATAAAAGTAAGTTATAAGTATAACGAAGAGAGATAGATTTATCTACATATTTATTTTTTTTACAATCAAAGTAAAATAATTTTATACCTACAGGACTCAACCTCATAATTTGAAGCAGATAAAGTAATAAATGCAAAACGCTTTTCGTCATTCTCAGCTCCAGGTTTTTGTTTTAAATCTAAATTGATAATCTCCCCATAACTTGTGAAGGCTCCGCGTAAATCACTTTCGCTTAAACTTTTAGGGATGTTTCCCACAAACAAACGGGTATGGAACGCCATACCTTGTAGTTTTGTGCAATTACAATTTATATTTTTATTCTCTTAATATATTTCACTAAAGAGACTAAAATAAAACATGCGGTATTCCGCATGCTTAATGTCAGTGTCATCGTGACACTGTCAAGACATTGTCGATTATCAAATGTTGCCTGCGGTAAATAGCATTTTCGCGGAAGGAGACTTTATCCTTTATCCAATGATAAGAAATCAAACATGGGTACTAAAAAAGTTTTAGAAAGTATGAAAATAAAATGTTATAATTTATTTCATTTTACAAAAAGGATGTCAAACTTATATAATTTTCAATATATATTACTAAATATTTACAATAAAGTATCCATTCGTTAGTTGGACATCTTTGGAGAATAAAGTCATCATTATTACACACACGAACAAGCAAAATACATTCGAAATTTCTATATTGGTCTTAATAGACTAATTTCAATTAAAAACATATAAAAAAGCTTATTCTATATTAAAGCTTAATATCTACAACTTTGTGAATTGATATGGTCAGATATTAAATCAGACCATTGCCTATTGGGTTACCATTTTGGTACTCTTTTTTTTCTTGGTCTTAAAGATCGAACAGATATATTCAACTCAGTGGATACATTGGGTTGTATTGTTGTAGAAGTTATATCAGAATTATTCAGTATTTTCGTCTTCTGTCGCGTCATCCTGTGACTGATGAGAGTTGTTTTAAGAGAATCCTTAGCTTTTAAATCGTTCATTGAATTGTTAGCTCTTCTGTTTGCTCTTAACCATCTCCCCGAGACATTAGAAATATTGTTATCAGGTTCTGGTGAAATATTTTTCTTTTGAATATCCATCGCCTTTTTCTTACTGACATTTTTATCTTGAACATATTTAGTTGGTGTTCTTTTTATCCCTTTTGCTTTAGTTTTAGTTACAGGAGAATTTTCTTTTACATTGTCATCCTTTTTGAGCCCTGCAAATATATTTAAATTAAATTTATAATCAATAAACACTTTATTATGGTAAAAATTTACATATATTTTGTAGGAGCCTTAGCTCCTGAACTAGGTCCCGTGTTTTAGATGTTAATCCCTTCCCCATGCATTAATTCAATACATATTATGTTTTATGTCGAAAAAGTTTATGAAATATAAATTGTGTAAACAGAGGAACATCAAATTACTTACTTTTTTTTGGTGTTGCCTTATTATTTTTACTGTCTGTTTCCAAGTATTGACTGATTAATTTTTGACCAGTGTTAGTTAACATGTTTGTGTTTATCCTTTGACATTTTATGATCATAATCCGCTTGGCATCAGATTGCATGGCAACACCTCCATTTTTTTGAATATTTTCTTTATTACTGCCATCTACAATATATTAAAAGTTTAAATAAATGCTCAATGCCTACTTATGCTTAAAAGACATCTAAGGCGCAAATTCTTCTATCAACTACTCTATAAATCTTTCATCATAAGATTTAGTTATTAAATAATTTTGAATAGAACATCATTAAGTTTTTAAATAGGATTTATTTTAGTTCTAATAGATATTTCACACCAATAAAATACTTTTAAAGCTATTCTATAAAATGTTGTAATTGCACTACAAAATATGAACTTACTTTTGTTAATTGTTTCATTGACTTTACAAATTCCCGATTTATTTGATAGATCCATATCACTCTCAAAGTCTGTGTCCCAAATAGACTTTGGTTGATTCTTAGCAGTTTTTTTATTAGCATCAACCTTTTGACTCTTCGGGTTAGTAACATTTTTAGTTTTAGAATTAACTGTACTATTTTTATTTTCACACTTTTCTTCTATATTAATTTCTGTAACATTGTAATTTAATTATACAAATATGTTTCAACTGCCGAAACAGAGATATAACACGTCTTTATGTGAATGTTTTTGACAGTGCAAACTTTTTTACAAATTGCAGTTGAAAACATGCACATATTTCAAAACGCGGGTTTGCTTTCACTTCAACCACTTCTGTAAGATTGTATTATTTCACTGGGTGACTCACCCATTTGTGCATCCAACAAATGTTGCGGACTATAAACTGTTAAGATTCACTGTTACACTATCATATGACTTACTAAGTTTGAATATTAATAACTTACTTCTGTTGGCTGTAATTGGATTTATTTTGCTAGCTTTTTTAGCTTGAGGTAAAATGCCACAACCTTCAAGATCACTCTCAAAGTCAGTGTCCCAAATTGACTTTTGATAATTGTTAGTAACCGTTTTATTTACATCAATGTTGGCAGACTTCAAATTAATCTTTTTCGCTCTTGAATTAGCCGGAAGATTTTTGTTACTTTCACCATTTTCTTGATTAATATCTGTAATAAATAGCACAATGAATACTAACTGTAAAAAGAAAATGGATGGATAATATAAGCCATCAATGACAAAAATTACAAGAATGATCTCTTGAAAATTGCAAAAAACAACATATAACTGAAAAAAAAAAATAGTATTTATTGTCTGGTAGAACTTTACTTACTCTTGTTATTTGTAGTATTATTTGTTTTACAGTTTCCAGCTTTTTTAGGCAAAATTCCATAACTTTCGAGATCACTTTCAAAGTCTGTATCCCAAATTGATTGTTGACAATTATTTGCAGTTTTTTTAATAGCATCAACATTTAGACAATTTAAATTAATCTTTTTAGGCAGAGAATTAACTGCAACACTCTTGTTATTTTCATTTACTTTATCAACCTCTGCAAAGAAGTGTTTAAAAGTGAGTTTTCACTGCCAAAACATGTAACAAAAACATAGCAAGATTATTACTGCAAATATTAGAGACATAATACTTACGTTGATTATCTGGAGCATTACTTCTTTGGCAATTGTTAAGTTTATAAGGTAAATATACATTGCTTTCCCAGTCACTCTCAATGTCTGTATCCCAAAAGGTTTTTTGATTTGTTTTTGTAGAATTTTTATTTCCATCTGCAAAATATTTTTATTGTATTATGGCATATAATGTAGTGGAGTGATTCTAAGTCATTTTAAAATACTAACCTTTGATTCCACTTTTAACAGTTTTTTCATTTGCTTTATTTTTCTGTGGGATTTCCTCAATTTCTTCGGATGTTCCGTTCTGTTGAGCTATATCATTAGATTTTCTGTTATCATTCTTTCCATTAGCAAGTATTTCCTCATCAGTATAAGTTTCGCTGCCATCATCAGCATTGCAAGTGGATAAAACTGAATCAATATCCCATTTAGCACAATCACCATCACTCTTTCTGTTCCCAGAATCAGGTTTATTTGTTGTTGAGTTGATTAAACTCATTTGTTCAGCTGGGACTATTTTGTGAAGTAGATTTAAAAGATTATTATTATCTTCCGCAACATCACGGCTCATACAAGATTGTGAAGATGCCAGTTTTCGTGGTTTGGTTTTTTCTTTATTACCAACATATTTATCTACTGAAGGGCTACTTTGAGGTGTGTCAATCTTAGCTTCAATAATATCTAGTTTTTGAGTAAATAATTTTCTCTTGATAAAACTAGGCCTTTTGGATACATCATTGGTTGTATTCGCAGACTCATTATTTATGCTGCTTCTTATGTCTGTGTTATTAATATTTTGTTTTGTAGATTCTTCAATAGGTTCTTTACGTATTGGAGACAAATTATTTATGACAGTTTCATTAATAACAGAAAGTGGTTGAGATGATTTAGATATTAATATTTCAGGTTGCGCTTTCTTCTTTTTATGTTTGCCAAACTTTGTTATAGGCATCTGTGGCCTTGCAAAGTTGAAATCATTATTTACACAGTTTAAACTTTCAGCTTTTTTGGGTGTATCTCTTTTCATCTGTTTGGGTGCCTTTGGATTATCCTCTTTTTCATTACAATCAATAGTTCTTTTACGAGTAGTTGTCTGTGACTTTTCTGGACCTTTATCATTTGTTGGTACTGAAAATATTTCTTCGTCACTGTTATTTTCATTTTGCTCTCTCGAACATTGTCTAATTAGATCAGGCACTTGATTTTTATTGGAATTACATGACAAATTTATTTCTGTTGAATGTCCATTATTAGAATTAGAAAATCTTTGTGATGGTAAAAGGAATCCTTTTTTGAATCTGTCTTTTAGTAAGAAAGAATTTTCTTTACTATTGTATGTACATGAATTGCTTGCTAAAGGTGCAACAATTATTTCCTCAACATTTTCATTTTGTTTCTGATTAATATCAAGTATATTCACAGAATTATTCGCCATACAAGGTTGGTTTACATTATTTTTAATTATTTTACCATTAGTTTCTTTAGGTTTAAAGATTTTAGGTGATACACTATTTTCACTACTGGAAGATGATTCACTGGCCATTTCCCCTAAGTCTTCTGTTGAACATCGCCTTCTAATTGTGTTCATTAGGATCCTACGATTACGCATATACTCAAGTCTCTTTCTTGACTTATTCTTTAAGAATTTATAACATGCAGCTTTTAACAGTTTTTGATCATATTTGCTGAAGTGTTCATTTTTTAATGCAACCACTATATCTGATGCTGTAACAGTTGCAGTTGAATCTGAAATAAAGGCATTTTTACCATATCAATTTTGCTTAATATAATCAACAACCAACAAAGGCTTCAGGCAGCAAAGGATGTATGTCTAATCATTTTTCTGCATCTAACTAATAGCACCCTTTCTGGCAATTTCATCTCTATTAGTAAAAACAAGTTCCCGGCCCACAATTTGCAATCTTTGGCTCAAGATTTACAGATTTAGTAACTGGCTTACACTTTAGTTGAATTAAAGATATTTCCACAAAAGTTAATTAATTTATGTTAATAACTTGTTATAGCAATCCAAATAAATCAATTTTTTTCATATGCTTGATATGATTCTATCTGTACAACCTTATCCACAATCACAATCACTTAAGGTTAGTCACAAAATTAAATATTTATCATGTTAAAAAGGTACCTAAACTCCGTACGGAAGCCGGTGAACGGTTTCCACGATTGTAAACAGACTGGTGAGAACCTATATGACTTCGCGTGGAGAAACTGCGATAGTACGGACGACTGAAATGGGAAACGTTATATGCGGACATTGGAGAAGTCTCTCTTCTGAAATAGCTTCGTTGACCATTATTCATATGACCATATTTTGGTCGGTTTATATTCCCAGGCAGCATTTGCATTGTTGATGATGGAAGGCTAAAAGTTTCAAAATCTATGTTCGGACCTTTCGCACGGATTGCCTGCAATGATAACACTTTTGGTAAATAATTGCAACCAATAATTACTATTAAATTTTCATATCAACACAAACTATCAATGTATTTACCATTCCCTCGTTTCGAAAACTATATTGATAACTTTCTAACAAATCGTCTTCACTGTCAGTCATTTTAATAATTCATTCAAACACGAAGCACATTAACACCTTTGTTTACTTTTTAATTTATTTGATAAATATATGCCATTTGAATTATATCGACAAGTGGCGTCAAGCGTCGGATTTTTTTTACTTGGATTTGGTTTAGTTCAATTTTGTTATTCAACGTAACGGTTGACACCATAGATTATAGACACTAATGACATAGACAATTAGTATTTACGTCAAAGTAGGGATGCCCGTATAAGAAGACAATCTATGCTTTTCCGATAAATAAATAATTCGTAAAACCTAGGTGCCTATATATGAAATAATTTAATTATTCAGACATTAATATTCTTTTACTTATATAAGCATAAATGCATACTTATAAAGCAATAGTTTCATACAAGATTGACGCCTGTAATAAAATCGACGATTTCTGTAACGTTGTTATTGTGCTCAACGCAAACTTAGGTCCAGTCCAAGTATAGTCTGAACCAGTCATATTGTTGAAAGATAGGTCTACAAGGTTATCTGACCCGGTTTTAGTTAAACTCCATTATGATGAGCTTATGCACACCCCCTGTCAACATCAAGAAAGTCACTGAATCAAATCAAGACTGCCACTGCTTCATTAACTTATTAGTCCATAAACGAAGATAAACTTCGGTTTACAATTGTCGTTTAAAATAAAAATCCAATAGTTTTTAATGAAGTTACTTTATTGATAAGATCGACAATCTTAAAACTGGAGGCAATGTTTTATATCTGCAGTTAAGGCAATTTGTCTATGCCACAAGTAAATAAATTATTTATCTATTAAGTCAACCAGCGAATAACATCTCTTATTGCCAACAAGTCGTTTGAAAATCCAAACATGATTGCTTCGCTAAATTAACAAACAATTATCTGCATATTAAAATATTTCTAATGTTAGATAGATTAGTACTAGTCCTATATTCAGTTACCAAAAGATAGGTAACTCGAATAATGCCACTAATATTACTTTCTAATGTCAGCCAATTCATAACGAAAGTATTCCACGATGGTGGAAACATCATTGTAATACATTTCGTTCAGATCTAATTTACAATCACTTGTATGAACATTAAATTTAGTACCAAATATGTTTTCAGTCAATTTAGACGTCATAACAGAAACAAGTAACATTAAATCTCTTCCATAATTAACAACCTATTAAATGCACGTTTATATCAGGACCAGTGGCCCAAAAATCATATAATAAAGGACATTGTGAAAACTCTAGTATGTCACATTGTTCATGCACCAATTCAATAATTACCTCCACATTAAAAATATTAATTGCGTCAGAACCTAGATACTTTTCACATAAACATAAGAATATAGAAAGAAATCAGTCGAAAGATAATGCTCCCAAATAAAGGAATGTACTTAGGTATGACACAGCCTTTTGTTAAGGTGCAATATTTTACAGAAAATTATTTCATATAAAAGGAATTATTTTAATTTAAATAATCATTTTTTTTATATTTACATAAAAAAAAAGAATTTCAAATGACAGTGATACTTATAAAATATACATTTTATCAATATAGTAAAATAAAGTTTCAAGTATGTTGGAAAACTGAAAATAAAAGTATTATAAATTTTAATATATATGAATTTACGATATAAATATATGTGTGGTAGAGATACCATTTATAGGAACTTCAGTATGAGTGTTTCAATTTTCGGGCCACTGTCTCCATATTTTTTTAGCCTATACAATATATCCCTTACGACTCATTGGCTGTGAAATACTAAGCACTTGATACTGTTTATTATAAAGCGATATAATTTCGAGTTTAATATACAAAGAGCACTATGGTTATGAAGTGTTCAGTATTCATCCTCCTCTGGTGGATGAGGATTGTCACCGTCGAGTTCCTCGGGAGGCGCAAAACCGTCCTAGAAATAAAGTTTTTTTAATAAAATTGTACAACAAAGAATTACAATAAAATAAAATATAAGACCTTTTTGATTTCACTATCAATCCGGGGGTCGTCAACCTTTTTTCATACAAGTTTGTCCGCAAATGAAAACAAAACATGAATAATCAAATTTTTGCATTTTTTTATTTTTAAAACATTTATTCCTTAGCTAATTATAATTCCACTGATTACAAATAGCTTAATTATAGAATCGTCCAAAATTAATAGTTTGGATAATTTTTCGTGAAATAAATAAGCTGTCAATCGTATTGTAAACCAGTAAAATCGGTAGATTGTCGAGACATTATTAAACATGTTTGTAACATATACTTAAATGGACATTTAAGGCGTTCAGAGGCAAGAGAAATCTACCTTGACCACAATACCATATAAAGTAAGTAAGGCTTACAACTTTTTTATGTACTTTTTTAAATTGTCCATATATGGTTTGTTTACATTTTTTATTATGTATATTTAATATCATATTTTACCACAAAGATTTTTTCTTTCATATAATTCTATTGTATATTTAGAATTACATTCTGTAATTAAGACTTTACTTGAAGTAATGAGAATTGTTAATTGAATGCGTCAAGCAGTCGCTGCCAATAGTTTTATATGGTTGAGGGCAACTGCAAACTTTGGATACATGCAAGGCGTCACTTTTGTATGGAAACAGGAGTTCGTGTTTGTCTTCCCTTAGTAGTACTATGGAGGATTAAATCAGGTACCAAAGTTGAACTGTCTACACTCACCTCAGTTGCATATAAAATATCCAAAATTTTCGTTATAATGGGAGCAGTTTGTTGTTCTTCCATCTCTTGACAGATAACCTCTATGTCTCGAAGCTTACCAAAGTAGAAATCTCGTTCCTTTTCCAGTCCCTCAACCGTTGCTTTCAATTCATTGAGCTGGGAATATGTTTCAATTCTTATAACATTTGTTTTAAAAAATGCATAATAATGGATAGAATATGTGCTACATTTCATAATGTTTTCTCTCATAATATTTACATAATAAATATAGTATCTATAAGGCATTATTTTAAACTCACCTGGATGTTCAAATCATCAATGGCTTTAGAATCTCCTTTTGAATTTTGTATTCTTGCCAGATTGACAGGGGGCGACCGCACTGTGCTATTGGTCTTGCCAACTGTTGAGAGAAAATACCATAAAAATAACTGTCAGTGTAACTAATTGTTCTATTTTTCCTAAATATAGTATTGATTTAATAAATGTAAAGAAAATATAATTTATTCAACAAATTTCTCATGTAGGGTCTAAAACTGTGAAAAATTGTTTATGAATTCACTCAAAGTGTGTGTTTGGATTGGTAGCAAATGAAAAATAAGCCAACATATGAGATGTAAGGAACAAAAGAATAATAATAAACAAATGAAAAATAAAAAGTATGTTGTAAATAATAAAAAAAATACAATTACTAAAGTGCCCATATGATAAGAAGTGCAGGAAGGGTTAATACTGCAATGGTTATAGTTTCTAAAATATATCTATAATCATACATTTTATCAAGCAATGGTTCCAAGGATTCCAAACTAAGAATATAATTTATAAGTTTAATTTAATAAGCTATCAGAATAAAGCAGTATATATGGGTATGTCGAAAGAATCAAAAGAAACAAATAGTACTACTGGTTTGGGGTCTAGCGGCGACTTTCGCGACGGGCGCCGCTGGTTTCTTGACAGCAGAGGCGCGAGGCGCCGCAGAGCCCCCATGGCCCATGGGAAGGCCCTCGCGCTGCGCCACCGCGTCATACTCCATGCCGCCGTAATTGGCATCGAAAAATTTCTTGAACCATTGCAAGAATTCAAAGTTGTCTTGAAATCTACCCTTTACCAGTTTGTCAATGGGTACTATCTACAAAAGAAAAACATAATGGAAAGATAAAAACAAAAGGAAAGTCGAGATGTTTTCTATGATGAGTGCTGTTGTGCAGGGGATGGGATACCTAGAAGTGTTTTATATTTAGAAATATATTGTAATTTGCACAATAGACATTATATTACAAAAATATTTCTAAATATGTCAAGAAATATTTCGGCTGATGCATACTGCCGGAGTGGTGTAGGGGCGCAGCCCTCCGAGCCCGCGGAGGAGCGGCAGCTGCGCACAACGGCACGCCACTGTCACATGCTCCAGACCCGATCGTGAGACCCCCTCGAGCCTCGAAGGCGTCGTACTCCCGACCATCATAATTTGCATCGAAAAACTTTTTAAACCACTGTAAGAACTCAAAATTGTCTTGAAACCTTCCCTTTATTAACTTGTCAACAGGAATTACCTACAAAATTACACAGGGAAATGTTGAATCATAGTAGTTGAGTCATTTGCTAATAGGTTTGATATTTATTTGCCAGTATCATTGAATTACACAGGGCAAATCATAAGTTCATTATTCATTTGATGTGTGAAATTTAAGTATTATAGATCATAAGATATTGTATTCAAACAATGAAAGTTTTTAAAATCAGCTTTGATAATACATATGTCTGATTGGCTATTTTTTTAACTAAAAACTCTGTGTATTGCAACTGACTATTAGTAGGTTGAAATTTCATATTTACATAATACATAGTTTCTGCAATGGCTCGTACATTTAAATTAAAATTTAAACTCTTAAAGATTTTAAAATTAAAATCCTTACAATAACAGTGAGATATTAATAATTCAGGAAAATAGATCAACAACAGGATGTCCTTAAGGTAGATTAACAGGAAAATTAAAGCAGCCTTACAAACAAATTATCAATTTCATATTGGAAGGTATTTTAAAATATTTTTTTATGAATATGAATTTTCTAACTACACAATTTTTTTTCTTTTTTATAACTTATCTATCGAATCTATGGACGTCTCAGATCCAAATTTTTTTAAAACAACTCATAGTAATTAACAAATTATTTATTATCCTAATTGTATGAAATATCTATTCTATTTTCACTACACTAATACTTTTTAGAACAGTATGTTAGTGAGTTCATACTACAAAGAAGATTTACATTACATGTTTTCCCTAACTCCAAACCACAACACATTTTGATATGAAAATTACAGTATAACACTAATTTTAAAAATAAATAAATTATTAGAAAATTAATCTCATAAGAATCTGAATGGCTTACTTTAGATTACTGATTTATGAACCTTGAATTATACTAAAGCATACTTTAGATTTTACATTAAATTTATGCAGATAAAATGAGCATAAGAATATATTTAAATATTTATTAATTGGTCAGATCCACCTTAAGTTTTAATCAATAATATTAATAAGATTAAATAATTGCCATAAAATTTATAATAACATTATTACAAACATTAACATTATTAATAAATGTATATTGATTTGAAATCTTATCTTTGCTATACAACTGCATTAAAACTAAAAATACAATTATTCTTACCTTGTCAACACCCATTTTTTTGAACGCAGCCTGTAATATTTTAAAGTTCTGTATATATTCATGTTCCAAGTTTGTCTTAAATTTGATCCTTTTGATGGGTACACTACCGGGGAACAGCATGTCCATGAACTGACAATAGGCAGCGCCCGTGCATAGCTCTTCAATTTTAGCAAAATTTGATTGTAAGCAGTCGTTGACCCACGCCAACATATCATGCCGTGATAAATTTTCAGAGGTAACATTAGTTGAATATACGTTCACTGCCATTTTTTATATTGCTTTGCCCGCAGTTTCTAGAAAAACACAAGGTATTCCAATAACTCTGGCATTAGAACATATCACAAGACACCGACACCTTCGCAGTAAAAAAAAAGAAAGCCATTCTAAAAATAGGTCGTACCTTTTTAATTGGATGATTAGTTAACAAAATAACATAATTTAGGTGTATCGTACCGTATGAACCAAATTATAATCCCGGTGTTTTAATAAGTGACACAAAATGTTGCCAAAAAGTTATTCGTTTTATTCAACGCGGCGGATGTGGGAATGACAGAAGTCGACTCATCAAAAATATCTCTACTTTTGAAGGTATAATACATGTAAATCCTTCCGTTTACATTTATGAACTATTTACTAACCTTAAATATGTAGGCGAATTATGTTAAAGCCCTCTTATATCTTTTTAGTGAACAATGCGGCCAAAGCGGTGTTTTTTTTTCCGAAATTACTCGCCGTCGAACTATTACTCATAGACAAAGAATATTTTTCCAAAGCATCATCTCAATAGTGATTTCAGTACGACCGTTATCGGTTTTACGATAAATCGATGAAAGACTTAATATTTTTCGACATCGGTGTTGGGAACTAAGTTTTGGAAATTCAATGGTGATTAGTTTTACATTTAATAGAAATTGTAGGTTAAAAAAGTTTCGTGAGTCAAGAGATGAATCAATTTTTAATAACGTGTCCTCCATAAACACGTACTAAACGTAATACTTTATTGTTATTTCAGGTGTATCTAAATTTCTATACTTTAATTACTTCCTATATCCTGTTCTATGAACAACATGAAATGAAGGGATAACTAAGACCCTTTTTCCAGCAAGAGAATAAAGTCAAATCGGACAACACAATTTCCAATTTCTTAGAAAACGATCGTCAAAAGTCGATTGTCAAGTTGATGAAATTGAGTATTTACTCTTTGATTTGCTATAAAACATGTTGCAATTGACAATTGACCTAAAGGTCTATGTTACCAGGTCATAAAATAAAAAAAACTTGTTCCAAAAATTAAAGAAGTTCTGCCAATGTCAATGTCAGTGACAAGTTAATGCGAATTGTCAATTTTTACCTCGCTAATCAAAATCGAGAATCCAGTTTTAAATACATAAACAATGACTTTATCCTATTTAAATTTTGTTCACCACAGCGCGCAGTGCTATTATGCATGTACAAGCGATTGCAGTTTTCGATCTCGAGTTTCGAATATAATAAAATTTAAAACAAAACAAAATAGCTAAGGCTATGTGACTTGATTTTTTTGCAATACTTTTGCAAAACAGTATTATCTTCGTATTTAAAATTGAAGTGCGTTCTGTTGAATTCAGACATATATATAATTGCTACAATGACGCAAAATGACGATGGACCTCCCGAAACAAATCAAAATATCAACACAGAATTTGTGAGTTCTAATAATAAATATAGAATTACAATGGAATTGCCTTTGTTTTTTACTATGATGGCACTTTCGCTTTCAGGTAATTTTACCTATTTTTATGATTATAACGAGAAATTAAATTAGTAATGTTTATTATATTAAACACATTTCAAGAACAACATTTAAATTTTAAGGTGCAGTAACCAGAAACATAATATTATATCGCACTTGTGTTCATTCTTTAAATCACAGCAAAAATGAGTGTGAAGGTTTTCTCTCACCAACAAAAGCGAATATCACACAGCATTTGGAGGAAGAAGTTCAGAAGTATGAAGCATTTGTGTCTATGGTACGGATAACTTTCGAATCACTGGCACCTGCTATACTTTCTTTATTTCTTGGTGTATGGTCTGACACCCATGGACGGAAACCTTTAGTTGCTTGGCCTCTTTTTGGTGAGATAATTTTTTATGTTGTTTGTATTTAGTTTTATTGTTAATAAAGAAGTTTTTATGTACTAATAGAAATAGAAATATTATTTGCGGAACGGACTAAAACTAAATGTAGTATAAAATTTATAGATATATACCCTACTTGTTCACACTTACAAATTTGTACTATATACAATTATCTATTTTCATAACATTATTTTGTATTACAAATGAAAACAGAAGGAAATTACTTATATAATACATTTCCAAATGCATTTTTTTTGTCTAAATTTTGTGCTACAGATTTTGTATCTATAGATTATCAATCTATGACAAATAATTGTCTGAAATATGTTAAACATATATATCCAACAAGCAGTGGTTATTCTTTGTTCACAATGATTGTTACAAAAGTTACAGGTTTATTTAAGTAAAAGCTGTTAGGTACATGGATAGCATTATTTTTTAGGAATGTGTATTAGTGGAGCCTTAACAGTTATCTACAGTATGATGGATTTTATGGGACCATGGTGGTATATTCTGACAGTCATTCCTACATCATTTCTGGGTGGCTTCACATCACTATTCACAGGCTCATTTTGTTATGTGAGTGACATAACTTCTATAGAGAAACGATCTTTTAGGTAAACATGATATTATTGCCGCTACATAGGATGTGTTTGTGCTAATGCATTTAACAAAAAAGTTAACTTACTTTATTTTTTAAGATTGTTTTTTTAAATTTTAGGATGACTCTAGTAGAAACTGCAGTATCAATTGGCAGTGTTATTGGAGCTATTTCTAGTTCATATGTCTTGAGAGCTGTTGGTATTGTGTACCTTTTACTTATAGCAACAACACTTTATGTCTTTGCCTATGTATTTACTATTGTTTTCCTGAAAGAATCATTACAGGGCGCAGTTGAGGTAATTTATTTTCACAAATTTACATATGTATTATGTATAGTTAACAGTATATTTATGACTTAAAATAAACTAGAATGTTGTTTACCTTATCATAAGTTCCCACAGCCAAATAATAATTACGATTAATTAAATATTGTACATAAGAATATATTGATATTAAATTATGTAAATTATTTAAAATTATATACTTATGTAAAATAAAACTGCATGAATTAAGAAAATTATTCAAATAAAATTATAAAGATATTCATATTAGTCGAATTAGATTTAAAAATCAATGTAAAATTTCCTATTATCGATAGTTGAGTAAAATTGTATGTTGACTTGTTTCAGGGAAATTTACTATCTGTATTAGATTTTTCACTTATCAAAGAGATGGGTAAAAAATGTTTCAAAAAACGACCAAATCATGGTCGTGCACAGATACTTCTGTTGACTTTTGCAAACAGTTTTTCCATCTTTATTATGATGGGATTAATGAATTTGGAATACAATTATACAAGGACCAAACTGCATTGGGCTATAAAGGAGTATACAACGTTTTCAGCTGTGAATACAACCATTACATTCCTTGGATCTTTGATTGGTGTGATTTTAATCCAAAAACTGCTAAGAATTAGCGATTTGTTATTCTCAATGCTTGCATTCTTATCTTCAACTGTGGAATATATCATAAAGATGTTTGCGGTAACAACATGGTTTATGTACTTAGGTAAGTTATATATTAATTTCTTATCCTTTTTTTCTACTACGCACATTAAATTTGTATCCTGTTATTCCATCGTTATCGATACGACTAATTTAATAATAACGTAAATAATAATGCAATTGATGTGTAATGTTCTACATAAAAACAAAGGAATATTGGTTTCATACAAAAAGAGTCTTTATTCTGTTTGCAAAATATATAAATTTGAGTGATATGTTATCTGCATACTTTGTCTCGACTGTCGTATAATTTTAGCGTTGTGCGGTCATGAACTCACAAATGTGTCATTTTTATTTTCGACAAAAATATCGAATGGTATAAAATTAATGATGTTAATGTAAGCAATTCTTTATATCATTAATGCAAATGTAATATTTAAAATCGACCCTAATAAATAAAACCAAAAATACATTTGAATGGAGTGATAATTGATAAACAGCTGCTGCATAAAAACCTTGGCAAATTGTATACCAGATAACAATCTCGTATTCGCCAGTAAAACGTATACAAATACATTTTGTTATCTCTGTCCTTTTCGAACAGAATAAAAGGGATGAAAATGTGTTTGTACAATCCGTACAAACTTTGGACATGGACCGATGACGTAGTTTTCAAAGTACAGTGTGCAAAATAAAAGTTCTCTGAAAAGGTATAAAATAATTAGTGATACTAGTGCTAAGTAAATATATATGAAAACTTTTGGTTAATTAGACTCTATGAAATGATTAATAACATGTTTATAATATCAAATCTTACTAATATTATGAATGCGAATGTTAAGATAGATGGACGAATATTTGTTTGAAGGGATATCGATCTCGGTGAAGAAAATACCGGATAATTATTATCTTTAAATTTCTCGCGGATCAAGTCATGGGCAATAGCTACTATTCCATTTTTGTAAAATGGCCGTACATGAGAGCAGTCTAGTAATACATTTCACGTTTCAAACCGGTTTAATACGAATATAACTACAAGATCAACCGGCGAATCCAACTTTGGAGGACAATGTACGACAAATTTTGCAATATTTATTTTTAACCAATACACTAACGTATTATGTTGGTTAATACCAGTTTTTTTTGGTACATTTTTTCTAGATATGATCTAAAGTGAAGTTTTATAAGGCGTATTAAAGATCATCATAAACAATATTCGCCCTTAACTAGAGGAATAGGCTGAGATTATGGACTTCCATTTAATGCAATCTTGACACACCTCTCTTGCTTCTACTTTTACTTCTACATTCATACGTCTACGCATGGATGCACCTCGGTTTCGGGTGCACTTAATATCTTTTTTGAGTATTTCTTCAATGTGGAAGACAAAATTCCGTATAGGAGGGCCTCAAAATCTTATTAAAGAATAGTTTTTACATTCAATACATTTATAAATTTGAATTTTACGTTAAAGTCTTATAAAGAGTTGAAATAGATGTAATAACAGTTATTAATGAATTTTAAAGTTATGTAATAAATTGTTTATAGGTGCCGGAGTATCGATGTTCAAAGGCCTTTCGTCTCCATTAATCAGATCGATGTTGACAAAGATGTTACCTCCCGATGACATCGCCAAAGTGTTCGCTCTCATGTGCGCTATCGAAGGTGTGGCGCCGTTGGTGTCTCCAGCGATATTCAGTTCACTTTACGCTTATACTATCAATTCCTTCCCAGGAGCCATTTATTTGCTGAGCAGCTCAATCACTGCGCTATGCGTTGTTTTATTAGGGTAAGTATATAGTACCATAGATTATTAATTTTAGTTTTTCATTATAGCAACTTGGACGTGATAGTTTTTTTGTTACTTTACTCAAGCAGTCTTTTAGTAGAGTAGAGTATTTAGTAAATAATAAAAATAAACTTATTGTACACATTTTAAAGAGTGGGGTTATTCAATTGCTAGTATACGTGTAGTAACCTTCACATTGTTTTTTTATTTTATTAAATTTAGCAATCGTCGTAAAGAGAAAGTAAACAGAAATGGTCAAGTGCAACAATTTTAAATATTGTACAAAGTAAGCTTATAACATAAACAGAGATGTTTTATAGCAGAAAGAATATTTTAATTTGAATAAAGTTTAATATGTGTAATTCTAAACTAATTAATACGTAATTCAGACTAGACGAAATAAATATAGACAAGACATTGATTATAAAATTCAAGTTGGAAAACTTGTTTTAGCGCTTATAAAATGAAATGTTCTTTTGAAACTGGAAATAACTAGAAACTAATTTAACATAAATTTCACCATGACATATTATAAAGCGTATGCTAGAACTTTGACTAACGAAAATAATCATGGATTCGAACCTACTACGCGTTTCGCAATGCGTACTCTTAACCATTAAGCTATTGAATTACATTTTTTTCAAGCATAAAAGCATTGAAATGTGAATTACAAGGCCGAACTTAGTTTCGAAAATTGTTCCCATCGATATATGGAACAAAAAGTCATTTAGGATCTTTAATTCCAGGATTTTTTTTTGTGTCAATGTAATTTGATTGCAATTGAAACAGATTACATAAAAGGACGTAGACATTATTAATGTTACAATGACAAAGCTCAATTACATGCAATGCGATAAACGTTCATATTTACACTGTTTATAGAAACAGATAAGTGCAAATTCAATAACAAACTTTAGCACAATCTGTCGATAAGATAAATTTGTTATTATTATTATTCCATGATGTTTTAGTTTAAATGATAATTTAAAATTAAAACGCAATGATAGACCACAAATACAGACAAGACAGAACAAAGATAACTAGCTGTCGCCCGCGACTCCCAGCAGTCTATGTGTTCTTCCAGACTATATTCTACATCTAAGCCAAATTTCAGCGAGGTCCATGCAGCCATTCTGGAGATACCTTCTAAGAAACATCCATCCATCTAAACATTCGCATTTATACTATTAATAAAATGAACTTCCACTATAATGAATTCTCGTTCTAATGGATTGTCCATTAACATTAGGCATTGATGAAATTAACGATATTTATTACAAAAAAAGTAAAAATAGAACACACATTGATTAAAGTAACAAAAATCGCAAGACTTATTCACTGTATACCTTATCAGACAACTTGTTGACCTTTCGGTTATAAGAAGGAATGTTCGTTTTTTTATACTTTTTGAGGTTTATTTTTATTACTTTTACGATTATTTAAAGTAATTAAATGGTCAGTCTAAATATATTTTTTTTAATTCGCCTCTTATTGCTTTTTAAAAAAATTTCTTTATCATCGGCAGTCAAAGTTAATTTTGTATGTATTTAAATTCTTCTAAATTAAATAAATATATCTTTGTTTCAGAATTGTGCAATACTTTATATGGAAAGGTGGATCTCAAGGCAGTTTTCAACAATTGGAAGAAGAGGAATGAACTGTTTGTTAAAAAAAACAAATTTGGTGCTTTTAAATTTAACGCTATCTAGTTGTCGCAAATAACTACTTTGTTTAATATATATATATATATATGTGAAGTAATTTGATTTCAAAAGTTAGAAACACTCAAACATAATACGTAGTTTTACCCTACAGTCTAATTTTTATAATCTTTGTTATTGTAAACGCTGCCAGTACATACACTCGTAGTTTTTAATGTATGGATGTGTATACACAAAGTTTGTTCATGTTTCAAAACATTTTATATAATTACGAAACAGGAGAATAAATAAATATCATCATAAATATATTGATATAAAGCTTTATATATTTTTATTATTTACATTAAATCTAGTCATCTATGCAAACATGAGTTTTTGTCACAAAACAGCTAATATTTTTATGTAAAAACCACGTGAACTTACTTTGTATAAAATATTATATAAACAAGATTTTATTATGATTATTTATGTATGATTTTAACAAGCGAACTAACTACAAAATGCATGAAATCTAATATATTACAATATATTTTGTCGTTTGTGTTATATTAAGGAAGAAGGATCGTTAAGGTTACCATTAACTACGTATATACATGGCAATTATTTTTTACGGTTTGTTAATTGTAATACGGCTTGAGAAACATTTTGTATCAGTCAATTTAATGTATGTATATTAATACAATATATGAGGAATTTATTTGTTTTATTGGAGAATAGACATTTTTCATTGTTTTTGTGAATTTTACCATGACTAACACCACATGATGTTTTTAATTATGGTTTACGATAGTGCACTAATATAATGATGATTACAAATATAGTTTTAATCCTAAAACAAAAAATATACAATCTATCTTTATAATTTATAATCTGATTTGAAAATGCATGCGAAATGGGTTGTACTTTCTGTTTTCAATTTATGCTCTCTCTTATTATTTGTTTTCTTTTAAAACTGTTTTCTGACAAATAAGACATGACCTAAAGGTCTATGTTACCAGGTCATAAAACAAAAAAAAACTGTTTTCTGACGTGTGTCAAATTGACATAAAAACAGTAACCTAGTGTCAATATTAGACATCAGTCAACAATGGATATTATCGACATGAATTTCAGTTTCCTTCGATTATTTTTAGCAGTGGTTGTGTAGAGTGCCTCCATTATCAGATTGTAATAGGAAATTAGTAATGAAAATATCATTACTCATGTACTTGTTTTAGTCAAAGTTTTTAATGTTTTACAAACCAATAAGTATGATCCAAAGCTTTAAGTGCAAAAATTAAATACGTTGTGTAAATAAACTGTGATTTTTCGAAGTTTCTTTAATTGGGATTATAATGGCAAATAACACGGATCACATCGCAGAAAATACTGCAACTATTAGTATAAGAGGACCACCTGGAAGACCTTACAAAATAACAATTGAACTTCCCTTATTTCTTTGTATGTTGGGTATATCTCTGTCTGGTGAGTTATTTTCTTTAAATAAGAATGAGTACTTAATATTGTTTATCGTTTGACTTTGATTAAAAATATGTTTGTTTTAGGTTCTGCCATAAGCAATATTATATTTTTTCGTACATGCTCTCACCTATTAAACCATACAGAAGAAGAGTGCAAAGGATTTTTATCACCGATTAGGTCGAATTCAACTAAATTGTTAGAAAATGATGTTCAGGGATATGCAACATTTGTCTTAACAGTTAAAACTGTAATGGAGTCAATTGGGCCTGCCATAATGTCAATGTTTCTTGGAGTATGGTCTGACACTTATGGAAGGAAGCCCTTGATTGTGTATCCAATGTTAGGTATGTAAATTTAATTCATGTGTTAAGAAAAAAATGCTATTTACTTCAACAAACTAAAACATTGCCTTATTTTGTTTGTTGTTAATCTAATCTCTCAATATCTTATATGCTTTTTAATCAATACCTGTATGCTTCTAAAACATAGCTAAAGGGTTGTATGAAGTCTTGTATCATGCATTTATCCTTTTTTTAGTTACTGCTTTGTACTGTGTAGTATAAGCAAAAGATATACTTATCTTTTTTATAAACATTGAAAACCACAGAAAAGAAAATTCACAGTAAATATGATTTGTTTGTTATGTTTTGTTGTGTATTTGTGCATGATAAAACATTCAAGTTCTAATCTGTATATGGTTATAAGCACATTTAATATCTCTATTATTTTTAAATGCACATCTTATTATCTATCTATTTTCATGAGTCATTAATTTATGATTATTTGAGTTGTACATAACCCATTGTGTTGTTGGTAATGGTATATTATTTAGTGCTGCCTTGTGCTATAATTGGTTCCAATACATAGTAGGTTTCAAATATCTTGGTGATTAACCTTGAATAAGCTGTGTACTGCTCTCCCCCACATTCCCTTTATGGCCAACTATAACTAAAATTGTGTTATACTCAATGACTCATAATATGATTAGCCCCCAAGATATTTGAAAACACAACAATTAGTTGTATTTTAGTATTAAAATTTTAGGTTTGGCCCTGTCTTCCATGCTGATCGTCGTGTATGGCTTAATAGATTTGAATCCCTGGTGGTATATCCTAACAGTCATACCCTTCTCATTTACTGGAGGTTTTGTAGTCTTGTTTACAGGTGCATATTGTTATGTGAGTGATATTGCAACCACTGAAAATATGTCACTTAGGTAATATATAAAATATATTCATATTTCTGGTATAAAACTAACAATTTAACTATGTAGTTTACATTTATATATTTTTTTAATTTTTATGCATGATGTCCAAGTTGTATCTTGTACCAGATTTGATTTTGATCTTGAATGTACTGTTAATGTTTATATATTCTCAGGTGTGAATGTGATCCTGTGTTTGTCATTTGTACATTGATTTTTGAAATATAACATTATATTGTTTTCAGAATGGTATTCATTGATGCAACAATTTCGTTAGGAAATGTTTTAGGATCATTGATAAGCACATACTTGATTCTATTGATTGGCAATGTCAATCTGTTACTAGTGAGCGCCACTTTGCATGTTTTGGCATATGCTTTCACAAATGTTTATGTAAAAGAGTCATTAGTTGGAGCTTTAGAGGTAAGAATCAATAAAAGAAATTAAATTTTGTTAAGCGTCTGACTAAATGAATGGTGACATATGTAAATATTAAAGATGAAACTCCCATCCGGTCAACCTCAATGTGTATATTCAAAAACATAAATTGGAAAGAGCCAATTAGTACCAAATATAGTATTACAATTCGTCACGGGATTATAAATTTGTCGTCAGCACATTAGCTAATTGATAACTAAACATTGTTTTTTCACTATGTATTTATACAATGTTTTTGTTGCTTCATTCCAATTCTGTTCTGTTGAATACCAAGCATGTTGATGTTTTTTGTATGCATAACACGAATGCATCCTGCCGTTTTTCGCGGAATAACTATGACCTTTCGTGTTTAAATCAATGTTAAAATATTTGTTTTTTTTTAGGGTGGTTTTTGTAAGATTTTAGACTGGCTGCACGTTAGAGAAATGGTGCATGAATGTTTCAAAGAACGACCAAATCATGGAAGGATACAAATTCTATTACTGATATTCGTGCGGTGTATATCAGTGTTCCTTCTTATTGGAACACTTGGTTTGGAATATCTGTATTCTAGGGAAAAGTTAAACTGGGCTTTGGACGATTACAATACATACTCAGCTGTGAGTACTGCTGTACTGTTTGTTGGGAGTTTCTTCGGTATTATGGTCGTTCAGAAGTTACTGCAAATAAGTGATTTAACGTTCGCAATCATGTCATTCCTTATGGCCGGCACAGAGTTTGTTTTAAAAGCGTTTGCAGTGACGTCATGGCAGATGTATTTAAGTAAGTATTGTTTTTGATTTCTTTTGTACTACATTATATTATTTAAAAAAAGTTCTGTTCGTGTTATTCGACAATGAAAACTCATTATAACATTACAGTTGACCTTGAGCCTTATTCCATGATCGATAACTCTATGAATCATCTTACCGAGAGTGTTTTTTGCCGTTTTGACGAGTTTGTACTAAAGTTACTTTTATAATATTTAATGTAATTTTATCTTGTAACGTAATTTAGTCATTATAAGATAAGTCAGTGATAAAATTCTATATCAGACAAATGTGTGCTTTGATGTGTCAATTTATCACGTATGATTAGGGCTGCCACCTTTTCTAGTTTCATCCAAGTCTGTGAAACAAGCCGTCGGATGTATTTAATTTTATTCGTCCTCTAAGATCAAGAGGTGACAAATCACTAGTTTTTTTTTAACCCAAACAGTGTTAGGGTCTAAGTTTATTGAAAATAGCCAGCCCTACATGATATCATTATCATTGACGTCGGCAATGATTACGGATTCGGAATGTCGGTTTCGCACAGTCTTGGCATATCTTTCATTTCCTCTTAATCCGGACATTACATATGATATAAAGGTACTCATCATTCTTAGTAACAAAGATTTAATATCACTCGCAAATAAACGTATGAAAGCACTGTTCTTCGTCGGCTAAATAAACGAAACATATTTGACATGCAATCAGTTGTAATACAAAATAATTTTATACAAATGGAAAAACTCTTGAGGTTAACCATATTAAGTTATGTGCTCACAATTATTGACATTTTACTAAAAGAGAGCCGAAAAATATTACTTTTTTGTTTTCAGGTGTCTCAATATCGTTCTTCAAAGACCTTTCCGGGTCGTTGATAAGATCATTTGTAACAAAGACGTTTCCTGTGGAAGACATTGCGAAAATATTTGCTTTGATGTGCGCGTTAGAAGGTTTGAGTCCTATTGTTGCACCCGTTGTTTACAACACTATCTATGGCCTCACTCTGACTACTTTCCCTGGAACCTTTTATTTGTTGAGCGCCGGACTGGTTGCCGTAAACATTGTGTTAATAGGGTAAGATTTTTTTTATTTTATTTATTGTTTTTATAAGTCTGTAGAGAAAAAGTATATATTGTGTACCCGAATAACATTTTAAACTAAAAAAAATAATTCAACCGTGGTTGGTCAATATTAAAACAAAGTAAAATTTTCCTCAACACATGTTTGAGTTATGTCTGTATACATCACTCAGTTAAAAACGAGGTTTGCATTGTGGGTTTTTTACAATCACCGTTATTAGATTGTAAAAAGATATAAAAAAACCTTGTGCAATCACAAATAGATTATACGGAGTTTTTTTGTATGAGTTTTAACAGTGGAAACTGACGTTTATTTTTACTTGTTCTAGGTTCGTAAAGTATTATTCCTGGAACGGGACGACTGTTCCTCACCGATCTTTGGTAGAAGAAGAGTAAATAAACTTTATTTTCTAGGCATTAATAAAAAATCATGACCTCATTCAAGACTTTTTCGAAAAGTTAAACTTAAAAGTCATATTTTAATTTGTAAGTAGTTTTGTTATATGCAAGTATTATTTTTCCAAATATATATAATGTATAACATTAAATCAGTTATTGTGTAACAAGACTGTGATATTAAATGTAAATAATTTGATCATCGAACGATTTTATTACAGTTTTAAAAGCATTTGTGATTTTATGTGCAAACTAACATGAGCTTTTTGACACATTTTAATATTAATTTTGTCATAGTTTTAACTATGTATTTAAGTTTTTATTTTTATTAATGAAATATAAGCAAACAAAAGTTAAATTTATTTTTGTTCAAAATGTCCCTTTATTTTGGTTGGAGTTTGATTCGGGGCAGTGTATAAGTTCTTAGGAAAGTGATTCGTCACAGAACAATGATAAAAGCAGGGGACTGGTATAAATAATGTCAATTCTCGGAAAATAATACTATAATAATTCTGTACCCTTTTTAGGAATTCAAGGCTACAAGAAATATATATTTTTTGCTTTCTTTTTTTTTAAATAAGGATAAACGACGAGTAATAAAAAGGCATAAAAATTTTCCACAAGTCTAACTTAGTTTATTTATAAAACAACACAGTTACGACTCAAATCAAACCTTTTAAAGTGCTATCACCAAATCAAAGTCTTTTACACAAAAAGTAATGGATATATTATTGAAAAAATATCGTAATATTTATTACCCTGATTGTTTCGTTACATTGTAATTTTTTTTTATATTAATTTTAGAAATCACAAAATAAGACGGAAAGTCGAAAACCAAATTCACCATATTCTAAATCTAGAATTTAATCAAATTTGAACAGTGTTGATTATGGCGGAACATTAATTAAAATTACAAACCTATACTTAAACTAATCATCACAGGTTTATATAGGTTTTACAATCAAATATTATTTAGTGAACTTAGAAATATAGAGGAAAACATGTCCACAGATGTCAATAACTGTGAATAATGCTTGTTTAAATTATAAATCAAATGACTTCGATGGATTTATGCAAGTTTTGTTTACGTTTAGGTATCACGGCTTAAGTGCAGTCATTTTAAGAGTGATACACTATTTTAGTCCGAAATCGTACCTAAATGTCTCATTATGGTACTGTTTTGAAGACTTTATTAAGAGTATATTTATGAAATGACAGTTTAACAGCAACAACTGTTATTAACTATAATAACCTTAAATAATCAACTTACTGGCAATAGTCTCTCAGCTTTTACCTTTATGGTTCCACTATTTTGTGCTATCAATCTTATCATAGACACCAAAATTTAATAATAGACATATGTCTAAACAAAAAGAGATTCTAAACAAAACAATAACACAAGGATATATTTATGCATCTGTTAATCAACTTATAACTAAATAAAAGTACAAGGTAAATATCGGACCTGCAATATTCTATCATTATTTGTTCTAAGGCCGCCTAAAGAAATCGTCGATCGGGAAATAAATTTCTATTATCATAAGTTCAAAAAGCAAGGTTAGGCCGTGATATGGGCATACTAGTTGATTTATAAATAGACTGAATCTTCATAGATACAAATTAATAAGTCTAAAAATATTTTTGTACTATGTAAAAACTTGATTTTGAAAAAAAAAAAGGGCAAGTGAGTCAATTTTTATCCCATTCAACAACAGTCTCTAGGTGGTCTTGTCTAGTAGATGTTAGCTCTATAACAAACATATAAAACTATTGCATAATAATAACTATTATTAAAATTTTAACTGAGCAACTTTAAATCTACACATCACAGATCCTTACAAAAATAGGATGGCTTAGTGATGTGCTTATACCAAATTTAAACTTAAGTTTGTACATAAGGAAAACAAATAAAAAAAAAATAAAAACAGCTTCAATAAGCAAAAAAAATCAAAGAACTGAAACAACTTAAAAGTACAACGAAATGATGTATGTATTACATTTATTGTTTGTAATAGGGATGTTGGAAGTTCAAACATTAATAGATTTAGATTTTTACTTTTTTTGCTTGTTACAATATAAATTATGTAGCTATTTTCAATTTAGTTATATTAAAAGGAACAAAATGTTAAACATCGATTCTTAATCGATAATTTTTCTTATTAAAATCAATGTCATCGAGCATCCCTTGCCTTATATTACTGTTTACAATAGTCACTGAGGATCGTATTTTGTACATGAGTCTTAAAATAAATCACTTAACTACAATACTTGTCAAATTGCAGTCTTTTTCAGGTTAAATGTATGCGCTAGGTCCTATCTGGGATAGGCAGAACTCTATGAGTGAAGCACCAATGACATACATGCATCATTAGTTGCACTAGCTGCCAAACTTTTTGGCAATGCTTCTTAATATTGGACAATGTTATTTACCACTCTTCCTCAGGTTCTTGACCTTGAGCCATGTTAGAAGGCGCGTTGCCAAAGTTCTGCAAATTACGTATAAGAAGAATATATTTGCACAGGTTCATTTAGAAAGGTTCTTTGAAAGGAAAGCATTAGATTTAAGACACATCTAAAATGAATGACCTCATGTTGCATTAAAATTTATACTTATAGATATAAAAGACTAAATTTTACATGCCAACATTTTTACTTACATATTTTGACCTCTGGAGTGCATGAGAAAATGACAAATGTTTTAATTATTTGCACAATAAATATTAAAAAAAAGCATACATAAGTGTGTGTGTGTGTGTGTTAAGTATTGAAGTAGACTTACCCGAACATCGCTGCCGCCGTATTTGTTGCCGGTGTAAGTGGCAGTGCCGCCGCCCTCCAAGAAGTCGGGTACGGGCTGATCCGCTTGCCGCAGTATCTTCGCCAGGTCCGCCATTAGCGCCATATCCTGATCGAAACAAATAGAGAGATGCTATCTTTTAGAAAAAACTGCTATAAAGTACTTTATTATAGTCATTTTTAATAATAATAGCTTGCATAATGTCAAATTGTTAATAATTGTAAAACACTTACATGGTCTGCATCGAAGAAGGAGACGGCCATGCCCCTGTTGCCGACTCGCCCGGTACGTCCAATTCTATGCACGTACTCGTCTATGCTCTTTGGCAGATCGTAATTGACCACAATGTCAACGTTTTTGATATCTAAAAGAAAATATATTACGATCTTAATTTAACAATTATATTTCTAAACTTTTTACACACGAAAGAACCACTAGAGTGACTAAATAAAATTAACAAAAAAACAAGTCAACAAACTATAGATATTTCTACATCTCCATGTGCAACGATTACGTTAAAGACTGTTACTTATAATATTTGCACTGAATCAATAATCAGCAAAATACACGCAGACGTTAGACGCAAAGCGATGCATAGCCCGCAGATGACCTTGATCTACCAAAAAGATATAGGCAGATATATGAAAAGTAATATTTGGTGGTTGTAATCTGGCTCAGTGACGTATTAATACTATTAAAGAGACAGCATCACTCATTATTACCTAGTCCCCTTGCGGCGACCGCGGTGGCGACCAGTATGCAGTGCCTGCCGCTCTTGAAGTTATGCAGCGCTTCCTCGCGCTCCTGCTGCATGCGGTCACCATGAATGGACGATGTCAGCATCTGCTGCTCCGACAGCATCGCCGCTATGAAATCCGCGTTGCGCTTCGTCTCCACAAACACTAACACGCGTTTACCATCTGAAAATAACAACTGTTATGTAGGTAATTGTATGAAATATACGGCATACCACCTTTATGTAGTCTGTAAAAATCACAAAAATTGATGATTTCTAATTTGTAGCCAAAAGTCAGGATTGTACCCACTAAAGCCTTTTCGTTGGCATATTGAGTGTAGTACAAAACTGTATGTTGTGTATAAAACTCACCATTATCCTCGATAAGTTTCTTGAGTGTGTTCTGCTTCTCGTATCTGGTGACCTGGTGGAATATCTGCTCAACATCAGTGCTGGCACCGCCCACAATGCCTACAGCGATGAACAGGTAGTTGTTGAGGAAACGACCTGCCAGGTGTTGGATGTCCTCGGGGAACGTCGCAGAGAACATCAAAGTTTGGCGCTCAGTCTATAAAAAAATATTCATTGAATTTATTTCAATGCACAAAACTTTTACTAATTTAAAAAGAAACAATTAAGAATTTCACTATGATTGATTTCCACAATTTGGATTTATTCTAGCATGGGACAAAACTTGCTTAAAAACTTTAGATGAGTTGCTAGCACTGTACTAAAAAGATGAACTGGACAAGTCCGGCTCTAAACAAGTATCAGGAAACCTAGGAGACAGATGTAAAGTTACTTACACTAGGCACCATAGTGGGATGTTCCATCATCTTCTCAACAGTAGGCATGAAGCCCATGTCGAGCATGCGATCCGCCTCGTCCAGCACCACGCAGCGCACCTGCTCGAATGACACGCGCCGCCGGTCAACGAAATCGTGCAGCCGCCCCGGGGTCGCCACCAGGATGTGGCAGCCGCGCTAAAGAAAACGTTACATGTCACAATGTTCTTATTAACAACTTTTAAAACTATAATTATCATGGTCAGCATTAAAAATATTAATATAACACTAGTATAGACTAGTAATAGAAACAACTGTAAGTTTATATAATATTTTGTTGCTTGTCTTGATTTATATTTTTTTCTGCATACAAAACATTTTACATATTAGGCTTATTAGACAGAAAGATTATTTTAGCCCTGCATATACCCAGGTCTTTGTAACAATAATGATTATTGTGCATTACATTTTTTATAAAGTTAAATAATAAATTATCTTACAGAAATGTTATCACTTTGATGGCGGACAGCAGTTCCTCCATATGCCACAGCAACCTTCACTACAGAACCATATGAGAATTTCCTTGCTTCATTAAATATTTGAAGTGTTAATTCCCTTGTAGGTGATACTATTATAACCTAAAAAAAAATTGTGTCATAACCAAACCGTGAAATATATAGTGCAACAAATTTATCTGTTCTACTTAGAGGCGTTTTTATCGCAGTTAGTACTAAAAGCACAGAAAATGACGCAAAAGACATGACATGACAGCTACAATCTATCAAGGATACATCACACTTATTTGACTTTGAATGTAAGAAAATAACTGTTTTGAGACATACCTGCGGTTGAGCATTAGGACTCACAGTAAGTGGTGCTCCCTCTTCAAGGATCTTATTTATTATAGGCACAAGGAAGGCTGCCTGAAGCAATAAAAATATACAATTCATTCTATTGTGTTTGTATCAAATGCTGCAGTTGTTGCATTATAAAAGTTCTTTAGTAAATAAGGCACTATAAAATCTTTTGATAAGGTTTCACATAATTATCAAATATTGGTAAGATGTTTTATATTAAACCATGAATTTACAGATAAATTTAAGTTTGAAGTATATATCTATATATGACTCACTGTTTTTCCAGAACCCGTCTGTGCACAGCCCATAAGATCCCGGCCCTCCGCTATAATTGGAATGGCATGCTTTTGTATAGGAGTAGGCTTCTTATAGCCTGATCTTGCTATATTTTCCAACACAGACTTCCGTAAGTTTGCAGATTCAAAACTTTCTATCGGTCGTGGTGGATTTTCTCCACTCACCTACAAATAAATTAATCTTTATACTCTTAAATGGCACAGGGCAACTCCCAAACATCACATGTTAAATAACTCGTTTTAATACACTACACACATTATAATGAACTTTCATTTGGAATGTAGAAATTTAAAATGTCAATAATAATAATAGCAATTATAAAATAGTAAAACTCACTTTAACAGCAATGCGATCAAACTTATCAAAATTAATTCCCGAGCTGATGGTACTGCTAAACATTTCTTGTTCATTGTCTGTGGGATCCGGAGGCACATAGGTGACTGGTGCCTTTTTCATTTCATCATCACCTCCTGCTTCATTGTCAAACCCTCCATCATTGTGACGACCACCTCGTCCTCCCCCTCCTCTGCCTCTACCTCTTCCCCTACCACGATCACCTCTTTCACCTCTATCTCTATCCTCATCATTGGAATCTCCTTAAAACATGAGTTACAATTAGTTAGAAATGTTGATGATGTGATATAAATAAAAATGTGTGATATATTTAATTATACAACCACCTTTTTTAACTATTGTTAATATTCAATTAGTGTGCCTTTTAAAATTCTTTAATGGTTTGTTTATCACTTTAACAAAAATGTTGTTAAAATGGTATTAAAGTTTTTAAACAATCTGTTGCTATGCTTGTTGTAATGCAAAAGTGATAATAAACTAAACAGCTACAGAAAATACCACCTCAATAATTTATTTATAGTTACCCACATTTTTCTTTAATATAACACCTCAATTAAAACTATTACAATGACTTTTCCTATTTATTGTATCCTATTTACTTTATTTTATTGTATCCTTTTGACTTATTTTTGACCTTAGCCTGTCAAGGTTGTGTAGGTCAGATCCATTTTATTACCATTATTATTCAAAAACAACTAATTCCATTGTTTCTACATTTACTTACAGAGTATGACAAGTTTGATAATACAATCCTAGTTAATCTTATTGATATGATGACGTATTATTTTATACCCAACATTTTACTTGGGTATTGAACGATTTTACAATTTTTAAAATTTAATTTAACACATTACTTCTATCAAAGAGAATGATAAGTTCTATTTAAGAGTTTGATTTAAGGTATTACCATTTGAGTCAAAATTTCTAGGTTCCCGGGTACCTCCTCTTCCACCACGGCCTCCACGACCTCTGCCTCCGCCACGGCCCCTCCTCTCCCCAAACCCATTGTCCATATCTTTTGAATAATCTATAAAGAAGAAACATGTAAAATAAGGTTATTTTTAACTACCTTAGTTGACCAGATATATAATATGTGTGTAGCCTTGTATACCCAATCAACTTAACCAAAACTAAACAGTGTAGGACCTTAATCCATTGACTTCCCCAAAGTGGCGAATTCACGCTTGATCACAATCCCAACCGATGTTAAGTGATGATGTGGTCAAAAGATGGTACTTGCTAGCTTAGTAAATGCCTACTCTTGAAGGCTCCACGTCATACTTGGAAGGAAAAACAGACGCCGGCAACTGTATGTTATAGTGCATAATATGAAACAAAACCTTACCATTGTCATTAAATGATTGAAAGCCTCTGCCTCTCGATAAACTGTGACCTTCATCTACATTATCTTGATAGTAACCATTATTTGCTACTGGCGGGGGTAATACCTACAAGCACAAGTGATACGATTCAACAAACATTTTACTTTAGTGTCAATAAATAACGGTTTCTTGATAAAAAAAAATACTTACAACTGCAGGAGAATCATCCCATTCATCGTCCATTTTCTGTAAAGGCAATAGAAATAATTTTTAATAATCATTTAATATAAACAACAAATTGAAATTAAAAGACATATCAAAGAACATTTGAGGAAGACTCAATGTATTGGGTTTAAATAAAAGATAGATCTACCCTAAAAGTACAATGAAAATATCACCGAATAGCGGTTGGAGATTTCTCAAAAGTCTATTGGTGACGTATTGTTCAAAATCTTTTTTGTTAAAGATATAAATTCTCTCAGCTTTAGAGTAAAAGTTAAATTTTGTCCAAAAACAGTTAAAAGCGATGTAGAGGACCGGCATTTGAATTGTTCACACGTGTAAAGGCTAACAAAAGATATTGTTCATAGTGAATACATTATTCGCATTTTATATCATAACAATACTCACTGCTAGCTAAAATTTTTATTTGGCTAAATGTACTAAATATAGACTTTCGAAAAAAATGCGAACAAAGACATTTAACAACCGACGACAGAACTTAAATGGCGGCTGATCTTCTGATGGCCCAGTGCTGCCAATGAAATTATTTACCCGGCCGGGTACATAATGTAAAAAAACATTTTATATACTCTTTGTAAAAAACCGTATTTGTATAGGAGTTAACCGGTGGGCCGGCCGTACCATTACTTAAAAAAAGAAACATTCTTCAACATTCGCCAAATTACGTCATTATACCTATGTGTGATAAGAATGTGAATTTATTCAAGTGTGTAAATAAAGTGAATATCTTAAACAAAATTAATTGACTACTTTAGATTTTTCGAAAGCCGACGTTACTACCACTTTAGTTAAGGCTGTAGATTTTGTAATTTCTTGGCTAAAAGCCGTAGAACACGGCATTTGCCGTAGCATTGGCAACATTGCGATGGCCTAAGTGTGTTACCAAAAAACTTTAAACCGGCCATGCATATATTACAAGTCGTACTCGTGATAAATATAAAACAAGTAAAAAAAAATTGAGACCCTAATCAACTTTAACCTTATAAAACTTCTAGGTCTGTTTAAACAAAATTTCAAGAATCCCTTATCATAGTCGATTCATTCACAGGGAAAAATTAACAGCAAGCATTTACACCACTTACATATGACATTTCTATAAATGGACAGGCTATTTCAAGTTAGCGGCCAACCTTCAAGACTAAGGAGGCACTGGAAAAAGAAGAATAGAACGTGTTTTTTCGCTAATTTAATTTTCGCCATTTTGGCGCTGACGGTTGCGGATTATAGTGATGATTAGAATTCGAACTAATAAAAGATATGGAATTAATTGTCAGTAACATCAACAGACGCGGTTAAGTCGAAAAGAAGCAAGAGCTGTCATTTTCAAATTATGACACATCCATTTTTGGAAATCAGTGATCAGTACATCACTAGTTTATCTGATCGTTTAATGCAGCGCAGCACTAATATTTTATATACTCTTTGCGTAGCACCAGTGTTGTGGTAGTGGTAGTGGTGACCTTAGATGGTTTATAAATAAACATTTAGTTATTTAATTGATTTATTGTGTGCACTAGATGTTACTATCATAAAACAAGATGAACGTGATATTTAAATACCGTGACAATATAATACTGAACTTTTTGGTGTAAAATAAGTGTTATCACTGTTGGCGTCCCCAGATTTTTTGTGGTTTGAGTCTACAAAATAAACTATGGCATCGGTGGATACTGTAAAAGTATCGGTGGTAACCGATCGTACCCCTAATATTATTTCTTGTTCAAATACATTTACAGCTGAAGAATTATGCATACTTTTATGCAAAAAGTATAACATACCACCTCTGACGCGCACTTTATTTGCTTTAAGAGTCAAAGGCACTGATTATTTCCTTAAAGATAACTGTCTGGTTCTCGCTGGCTCTCGTGATTATGAATTGAGAATTCGTTTCAAGGTAAATAAAAAAAAAATGTCATGAAATTACAAATTTATTCATAAAATGATATGCCTCTATTTAAAAAGATACTGTTTGAACATTTAATTTTTTGTTTATACTATAATAATTAAGTCTCAATACCTTTATAAACATTGCTTGATATAACTTGTATTTCGTGAAAATATATTGAACTAGCTGTCGCACGCGACTCCGTCCTTGCGGAATTAAAAAATAAAATAGTAGCCTATGTCTTCTCCCAGACTTTGTTCTACATCTGTGCTAAATTTCATCAACATTTGTTGAGCTATTACACTTCATATCCACCTAAACATTCACATTTATAATATTAGTAGGATTAAGATATTAGATGTAAATATGAGCTTTGAGATGTAGATGTAACTAATGTTCATTCAGGTACCAAGACTTGGACTTCTAATAACAATAGATGAGACAACATATGATTATTATTTTCAACAAGCACGGAATGATGTAAATGAAAACAAAGTACCAGAAATTAAGTATCCAGAGCACAAACAAGAATTATTAGGATTGGGCATTGCAGATATGTAAGTCATGATAAGAATTGTTCAAATATGTTATAGAAGACATAAATATTTGCTTATGTATTACAGAGTTTTAGGCAAGTGAAAGAATATGTGTGCAAAAAGTAGAAAGTTAAATGAAAGATTTAATGGATTTGAAAATATAAGATTGTCTAAAAGTTAAGTCCACTTATAAGGGAAAATTACTTGACCCATCCAATCAAGAGTTTCATTCAAGAGTAACTGGGTTTTTACTGTCTTTTATCATCTCAGTGTTTTCCCCTTAAATTGAACATTCACAATAAATAATTATTATGTGTATTTCATCTAATTATGTAATAAGAATATCTTATCAATAATATAAAGTCAAAGTGCATGTTAGTCACTGATAAATTGTTGGAAGTTTATTATGAAATCATATTTTACCCAAAGACAGAAAAATGTTTCATGATTATTTTCAGTTTTTGAAGAAAATTTAAATCTAAATTATTGATATCATAAAAAAATCTTGGTTATCATTGATCAAACAATTTATCCCAATTGAATATCTTTTGATTATATATGGGTGATCCTTAATAATGTCATATTTTAGGACTCGTGCAATTTTAGAAGAGAAGCTTCCTCTCAATGATGTTGTTAGAAATTACAAGAAATATATTCCAAAAGTCATTGTAAGGAGACACGGCCCATTTCCGAAAAAATATGCACATGATTATCTTCCTCAACTGTGTTCTGTGGGTCATAATGTCAAGTAAGTTGTTTAATATAAAATTGTTTATTTATAATTAATATGTGTTGATGGTATTTCCCAAAAATAATATATATAATGATTGATTATTGATAAACTTAAGGCATACAGTTAAATTTTCATAATAATATCCCAATTTTTATAAAATATGAAAAATGTTTAAAATAATATTACCTTGTGTGAAACATTTTGATTACATAAATGTTTCTCAATATAGTAGTTATAAATAATTCTAATAGCATTTTAATGTAAACTGTTTAGATTATTGTTACTACAACTTAAAATAGAATAAGGTTGTAGTTATAAAAAGTGTAGTTTTTATATCCTATTTTTACGTGATATTATGTGGCATGAAACTCAAAGTTTTTGTGAGAAAAAAACTGAACAATCTGTAAAGTTGATGGTGCATAAAAAAGGTATCAGTGCTTTGTGTTCAAATATTAATTGCTTCTGAAGTTCAATATATTACACAAGGTCTCTACAAGATTTTTAGAAAAGGTATAATCCAATCCAATCCATTACAAGAAATGTAACTTTATAATTAAAAATATTCTTAAGGATCAGAAGCAGGGAAAATGAAGAAAAAAAGCAATTTCTTATACACTACTACAGTACTTTTCTGATTTAATAACAAAACTAATTAAATTAAAACTTTGATGATTTTGAAATATAGCATTAACTTCCTCAACTATCAGCGTTAAAATGATTTATTATTTTCAAATGGGCAGAGCTTCCGATGGCTTCAGTGTTTGGTGGCAAGTGTGGTGCGGAATGAGTGTGCGGTCTCTTATAATGGCATCACCCCACCATTATTCTTTAAGTTCCACCTTCAGCTAACAATATCTTATATTTATGATCAATTAATGGTGCATGACACAATACATTTAAATAATAATCTGAAGAACCTTTATAAGACCGCAATGTTTAACCTTAAAAGATGTTATTCAATTGTGGGTTTTAAATGGGGAACTTCCTCAATAAATACTGATTAGTAACATAGGTCAAGACTTGTCATGGAGTTTTGGATCAGTCCTGATGAGAACTTATCACCATTTTCAAGAAAGACATATAAATTGTTTCAGACTCTATAATACTTATACTTTTAAATGCATTGTATGTTTTAATTATTATTTTAATACTTTCATTTATATATTTTTTGTTTCAGCTACGTGAAAAATCTCTATCTACAACAATTATACGGCTTGGCGCCTAATTACTTATCAGAGGAGTATGATAATGTTTTATGGCAAAATGGAGGAGATGTTATACCAGTACGTGTCATCGTGGCTCCCTTTCATCCACATCAACCCGGAATTCGACTCTATAATACCTTAAAACGTGATGTGAGCATACCTGTTACTTGTTTATATTTATACTTGTATACATGTTTATATATGTTTTCTGTTTCATTACTCCAAGCAAATCGGTTTTTCATAGGACATTTTGTATGAATGGGCTCAGCGAATGGCTCTTGTTCAGTAGTAGAGATAGAGAGATATCTTGTTTTACTTTTATATGTTTTCGGATTTTGTATATTTGGTGTCACATGATGTTTAGGTACTGTTAGTTTTTTTTTAGGTTTGACTTAGTCAATTACAGTAAATAAATCTTATTAGAGTTTAGTAAATAATAATTAGCTGACATGTGATACATAGATAAGTGAGTTACAATTCATTGTTGTAAATGCTAATAAAATAAAACAATTCACAGTGGTTTCATGTTTGTACAATAGAAGAGTTAATTTATCTAACGCGAAATGGTGATAATTCTGTAGAAGTGTCTAGAAGAGGTACACCATTGTTTTTCAAATTCAAAACCGAAGAATCACTCTCATCTTTTATTTCAATATGTGATGGATATTACAGGTTAGTACAAACATATTTGTCAGTCTAGCATTTCTTTAAAAAAGAAACCATATTCATCTGTTTTATCTGTATAGGTTTTTAGGCGGTCTCAATCCACTCTTATGTTTTAAAAATTATTGGATTTTAATTCTTCTACTAGGTGTCGCCTGCAACTTCTTCCGCGCGGAATTATAAAAACTTAATTAGTAGCCTATGTCTTCTTTCATATTATGTTCTGTTTCAGTCATCATACCAAATTTAAGTGAGATCCATACAGCAGTTTTGGAGATATCTTCAAACATACATTCGTCAGTCCTTACAGCCAAACATTTTCATTTATAATTTACTTTACAATACATATGAGTTTTTTTCTAGGTTAATGGTAAAATGGACGTTCAATTTATCAAAAGACGACGAGACGCCTTCGTTAAAAGAATTGCATAGGATAAAATGTCATGGTCCTGTTGGGTAAGATAATAAACAAATAAACATATCAATTCTATATAATCAGTGTGCTATATG